CATGGTTGGGAGGAAAGGCATGGAACTAGAAGAAAGGGTATGGTCATCTGGGGAACCTCAAAGGGGCCAGTTTGGGATCCCAAAGGGCCTGGTTTGGTCCCCAAGCTTAAGATGCTCCACCCCTGTCCTAATAAAATCAAGATGTCTTCTTCCTGTTAGCAATACCAAAAAACAGGAAAAGTTGGAAAAAATAACATGCTGTATAGAACTTCAGCAACATGTGTTAGAACACTGGAAATAGTTCAGTTCATTCCTGGAGCTAACTATGTAAAATAGGAACAAACATGGCAACTGAGTTTGGACAACACAATAACACACATTCAGGGGTCGTATATGGGTTGTCAATGACATGCTGAAACATGAACTATCATGTTGTCTGAAGATCGGTAGCCAATATAACAACTCATGGTGAACAACGCAGTTCGCCAACCCAGCAAGAAACAATGGGTTTTTGTTCTGGGTTGCTATTGGTTAACAAACCATGGCTTGTTAGCACAGCTGGATTTGGAGAACATGATAACCCCTGCTTCAACATGGTTCAATGGCAACCCCGAGTATCATGTTGTGTGAACCTAGTCGCTGTGCTCTCTTTACCCCCTCTCTTTCTATGACTGGGTTCACATTACAGTTTAAGCCTTAAATTTTTTCTTCAATTTATCCTGGAGCCCCCTCTGTGCCTGAGAGAGGATTAGGAAGAGCAGGGCACCACTTCCCTGCTCAGTCCTCCCACAAGTAGCCAAGGGAACTTCATGGGAGCACCAAGGGGAGCAAAGCAAGGAGCGGGGTCAGTTTTCACCCTGACTCCTGAGCAGACTTTTTGAGCTGCATTGAGGGTTCTCAGTACTCCTGGCCAAAACAGCAGGTGGCAAGCATATGGAAGAGTGAGAAGGGGAGATTGCTGTAGCCTCAGGTGATCTCCTTTCCCCCACACCAGCCTGCAGTTGCGAGCAGAGAAGTGGCCAGCTGCTGCCAGGACCAGCAGCGGCATGGGATGAGACATGTTCTGCTCACTTCCTTTAGTCCCAGCCCACCCTGCTGCATTCTGTTCTAGTCTGCTGCAACCACCAGCCCTTTCAGGTGGATTAAGAGGTGTTGGGTGTCTCTGACAAATACCCTCACTGCTCAGGTGCTGCTTGTGCACTTAAGGCAACTGTCATTGGGCAGAGCCACTCATCCCCCCCCCCCCGCTTTTTTTTTGGCTATTCTGGCCAAGTGGCTCAATAGAGACTTACACAGTACAACATGCTGTGGCTTTCAGTTGCTGAGCATAAAACTGCCCCAAATAAGTCATGACAGGTCTGGGCAACATGCTCAGCCACTTGGGCCTATAGCACTAGATGCTTAGTGGGGTATTGTTTAACCCCAGCAGGAAATGCCAGAGAAAAGAAAAATGCAAAATTTTAAAAACCTTTGTTCTGGCTGTGATTTTCTCCCAAGAGGCTGGAATTAACATAATAATAATTTTCAGGTGTCAGCAGTCCAGGTAATTTAAGATTGATTATTTCTTCGTGCTACACGAAATGAGAAATTCAGAATAACAGTGCTAGACCCACCAACTGTTTTGCTGTATAATAATGGTTTGGCCTACTAAATTCAGAAAGTCATAGCACAGCTTTCTGTTGATGTATTTTAATTCTGTCTGGTGCAGGTTTTAGCTAAGACTCCTAGCTTTATAATGAGACCAATATGGTCTGTAATGAACCTTGCTTTCTGCTTTCTTTCTTTTTTCTTTTTTTCTTTTTCTTTTTTTGAGGGGGGGGGAACTATTGTTTGTGGTGTTAAAAGTACCCTACACTGCAACTTCTATGGAGATTATGGAGTACTTTTGTGCCCTGGGTATGTTTACTTTATTTTGAAAAAGTAAAAGATGGGAGGCTGAAATTTAGGGACATTTTAAGGTAGGCATTTTGTGACTACGTCCTAGAAAAATGAGACAATAGGACTACTTATGTGCAAATTACAATGCAGAATGTGAGCTAGAAAGAAGCCAGTTACATGAGAATGGGGGGTGAAATGGGACTTTCACATCCCTAGACCTCCCTGCTCTTGGACTGCTCCCCCTTCTTCCTCCACTTCGAAAATGACAAAGGAAGGAAAGCAGCAGCAGAGAAGCCTGGAGACAATGAAGAGCTAGCAGTTCTCTGCCAAATATTATTTCTGAGCTTTCAGAGAACACTTGGGAAAAACCTGAAGCGAACTCTCCACGGTAGCCATCTCACATCGCCTGAGAGCAAAGCCAACCCTGGCTAGTAAAAACTGAGTTTTCACACTGAGTTGTAAATAAGAGTTTTGAGGAGGGGGCTGAAGACCTAGCACTATGAGGTTGTTTGTACGTGTTTGGAGGACTGGCCACAGTTCCCATCTTTGGTGAGAGGAGCTCTGCATAGGCTCAGAAACAATATTTTTATTATCACTCTCAAGTCACAAAGGATAGCTTCTCAAGTCACAAAGGATAGCTTCCTTAGGTTTGTTAGGCTCAGATGCTTCTGGACTTCTCAGTGTATAAAACTTGTTGCTGCAAGCTGATGTGACTGGGCAGGAATTTCCTTGCCTCACAAGAGAGAAGGGTGGAGGGGAGAAGACATGGGGCGGGGGGGGGGGGGAAGTGGAGGAACTTTAGCCAGCAGGCTTCTCTTTCTCTCTTTCTCTCCCGCCCTTTGTGGGTCGTGGGGTGGCGGGGCGGGGGAGAGGGTGGGAATGGAATGATCTATGTTCATACCGAGATCTTGGGGAAGGGAAGTCAGACAAGAAGTGGAGCCTCTCTGTTAACCAACTCCCCCACCTTGATATGGTAAAGCGACTGCCTCCCTGAAGGAGGGACAAGAAGGAAAAGACACCCTACGTCCCCATCAGATGGAAGCTAGCTTGGCAAGGAGGAGTGACCACGTCAGCCACACAGAAGGGGAACAAAGGAGGGGGCAGAAGGTGGGAAAATCAGGACATTTGTGGATGATGACATCCGACCAATCTAAGGAGGTTATGGAAACACAGGAGGGTGTGTGAGAGATAGAGGGAGAGAGGACCTACTTGGATTCATGCATGCATGCTCTCTTGGAAGTAAGATCCCTTGAAATCCATGGGACTTTGCAAATGGATTTGAAGTAAGCAAAGAGCCTGCTGGTTTCTGATGACCCCGCTTTTAAAATCCTGCAGGATTGTCCTTATGGAGGCTGAGCGTGGTACAGGAGACAGCAATGTGGCTAGCACAGGCATTGAGATGAATTCCTCTTGATTAAGAGAACAGATTCTTGCTCAGCCTCACACTGGAAAGACCCTTTCTTGGCCTCACATTTCCTGTAAAATGGGAACATTACCAAGCTGTCTCACAAGGTTGTAATGAAGTTAACTTAGATCGGGAAGATTTGCAAATGGAAACGCTTTGGTGTAAGATCAAGAGTAACTCTCTTAAACTGCCTTCCCATGTGTAGAAAAGGGGAGTTAGTGAGGGGACAAAAGAAGCAACCCAGCAGGAAGAGAGATAGGAAGACATGATTCTGATTAAATTCAAATAGTTACAAGACCAATTGCCACACAAAGAAGAAATTGGATTTTTTTGGGGGGGGGTCATATTTCTGTGGCTATCAAGGATGCAAACGCCAATCTAAGTCTGAAAAATTAAACGTCACACACTGGACTGTGTTAGTTGAAAACTGTGTGATGATGTGCTAGATTTGAGCTGTGGAGGTGGAAAGGCACTACCTTCTAACTACAGGAAAATTCCACGGAGCAGGAGAAGAAGGGCTTCTCCAGATGCTGCTCCATCTTTTGTGCTCCCTGTTGCTGGAAGGGCTGAGAGCAGGCAGGCTGGGGTTGCCAGAAAGAGCTGTGCGGAATCTGGAGAAACCTTTCTTCCCCTGTCTGGTCTCTCTGGATGTGTTAGACTACAAATCCCAATGGCCTTGCTAGCTTGGGGTGGTGGGAGCTGTAGTTCAACACTAGATAGGGGTAGGTCGCTTTCAAAGTTGCATTAGCAAGGTGTGTGTGTTATTTGGAAGAGCGGGAAGGACGTTGTCTGCACGTCCAGAGGGAGCTGAATATGCCTCCTGGCAGTCCAAAAGCTCCTTTTTTCCAGAAGAGCCCTGTTCAAAGAACTGCCTTGGAGGGATGGCTCATAGGGGCATAAGTTGCCTCACACCGAGCCAAACCCTTGATCCTTCTAGCACGGTGTTGCCGACCCTTTGGCGTCCCAGGCAGGAGCTTTTCCTGCTCTCGTTGAAAAAGCGGGTGCTCGAATGTGGGACCTTCTGCCTACAGGTCAGATGCTCTGCACGGAGCGAGCATGCATCTGGACCTGGGCTTGGCTGGCCTCGAAGGAATGAGGGCTGCTTCTGCGTCCTCGGAAGCGCAGCTCAGCGCCAGCTATTTGGTACGGTCCACGGGATCCGGGTATGGCTCCAGGTCGTTCTCCTTCCCTGCCCACAACCTGTGGCGAGCTGCTCCCTCCCTTTCTCCTTCGTCCTTTCCCCTCCTTCACCTTGATGACAGGACCTGGACAGCTCCTGCTTTGAAACTGCCTCGCATCGCTGCCTGTGTGCGAGTCCTAAAGCCTCCCAAACACGCAAAAGAAAATGGGAAATGGGGCGGGGGGGGGGAGAGAAGGGAGGGGGGGATCAAGAAAAGAAAACGGATCCAGACAGCCAGTCAGATTTTCCTTTATAAAGCCTCAAAGTGTCCACGTCCTCAAAAAGAATGGAACCAATTTAACATCCCCACCTCCTGCCTTCCCTCCAAGCGTCTCTCCCCCTCCTCCTCCCTCCTCGGCTCGCCTTCCTCTTCCCTCTCCCCTGCCTCCATCCCACCCAGCAGCAGCTGCTGCCAAAGCCGCGAGGACAGGTTGGAGGGGTCACGTGACGTCCCCGGCTCTCTGCCGCCCGGCCCTCCCCGCCGGCTTCGCCAGTCTCCCATTGGCTGCAACGCGTTCCACGACTCCGCTGGAGCAGGGAACCTCCTGCCGTATAAATAGGGCCGTCGAGGGCTTTATTATTTTAGCATCCCGGGCAGCAGGTTTCTGCTAAGTTTGGAGTTACGCGGCCTCACGACTGTATGCCTGCGTCCCTTAAGTAATTGCTCACCACCGACCCAGGGACTCTGAAACACAAGGAGTCTGCATGTCTAGCAAGTAGACATGCTCAGCTTTGTGGATACACGGATTTTGTTGCTGCTCGCAGTAACTTCATGCCTAGCAACCAGTCAATGTAAGTGCCTTAAGACTGTTTGGGGAAGGGGACGTCTGCTGCGGAATGAGATTGTCCTGCTGCTGTATTCTCCTTAGCTTTCCTTGCGGGGTGCGGAGGTGGGAGGAACCTTGTGATCTGGGATGCTCCAAAACTTAAGAAACGGATGCCCTCATACTGTTAGACCAGCCTTCTCCGACTGGCGCTCTCCATATATTGGAGTGCAATTCCCATCATTCTCAGCCAGGCTGGGCTGTCTGGAGAAACCACCAGGTTGGGGAAGCCTAAGTTGCTCTGGACTAAGTAGATTGGAAATTGCTGTTCCCCCTCTGAACTTTCTCCAACAACCAGATATGCTTGGAACTCCCGTTAGTGCCAGCCAGTGGTCATGTTGACTAAGGATAATGGAAGTTGTAGCCCAATACATATGAGGGCACCATGCTGGGAAAGACTGGGTTACAAAAACTTTCCAACGTCCCTAAGACACAGTAAAAGGTTTAGACTTGTTCAAGTGCTACCCCTCCCTCTTGTGCCCCCCTTGGCTCAGATTTAGTGATCCTGGCAAGAAGCCGAGCAGTTCTCCCCACCCATTTACTCCACCCCTTAAAAAAGAGGAGGGTTAAACTACTGAACCCCTGTTAAAATTTGAAAAACTTTTGTTGAAATAGTGGGAGGCAATTATGATGAGACTGCTATCCGGGAACACAGGAATTTTATCAGCACCATCTCCTTCCTTGGAGAAGTTTTAAAATTCTTATTAAGCTTTGTCTGCCTTATATTGTGGAGGGAATTCAGAAAAGAAAAACAGACCATCAAATCCTTAGTGGCTGGTTAGGGCGTTGTACATTATCTTTGTGTGGCGCTAAGTGCTTCGAATGCTCACGATGTGCCCCCTAGAAGGGAGGAGGTGGTAATGCAGGGGACCCAACCCTAATTGAATGGAGTCTCGAGGATTATGATTAGTTATTATCGCTGATTAGGCGAAAGAATTTAGTCAGTCATTAAATACATCTCCAAGGAGAGAACAAGGACACTCCTTGTGAGGAATTCTGTCAGGATAAATTGTTCAAAACAGTGATGAATTGTTTTAAGCAAGGAAGAAGACACTATCAAGAAAACTAAACCAGGAAAGAGAGAAAGTGTACGTTTGCTGAATTTTTTGTTCAAGAAACAAACCAACAGGGCTAATGGATATTGCAGGACTCTTTCCTCACATATTACTATACACTAGCGACCCCTTTTGGTAGAGAAGATACACAAAGTTTTCCCCACAATTTTTTTAAAACATAGGATGGAATCCTGAAATAGAAGTTCTTCCCTCAACAGAGTATATGCCTAAATAATAATCTCTGAAATGATCATTATCCCTAGCCCCGTGTTTGTATTTGTGAATAGTGAGTAAATACTGGAGCATAAGACTTGGGCCGTTGTTGCCTGGTTAATTTCATCTTGAAATTAACCAGGCATATAACCTTGATTTTTTTTACCCTCACAACTGTCCTGTGACGTAGATTAGGTTGAGACATAGCACTTTCCCAAAGGCCACCTGCTGAGTGTCATAACTTGGTATGAATTTAATTCTGGATTTTTAATGCCCAAACCAAGCCTCTAACCAATATGTCACAGCTTTTATTGGATCCATTTCTTAGGGTGTGGGAGCAGGCAAGTTTTGGCATCAGACAGAGAAAAGATGATCTGTATAACTCCAAATCTTGCATATCATCCAAGCAGAAGTCCAGCAAAACACTTTTCACCATACCTATTATGGTATTTAAAGTATGTGCAATGCATACTGTTCACACTGGCACATAGAGCATATCCATGCACCAGTAACTCCTAACGTACTTGATGCTTTGCCTATGGCAAGCACTACCCATACTGCAAATTAAAAAGAAAAAAAACTCTTGCCACATTTTATTTGGCAGTACTGAATGCAATGAAGCAAGCTGGCAGCCAAGGATTCTGTTAAAGTGCACCAATTAATGAGTGATCACAAATTGCACATAATTTCAGAGCATTTTTGTCTTTACAGTTATACTCAGTATTATCAAATTGATTCGACCTTCAATAGCTTTGAGGATATTCAGATTTATTTCTCCCTCTAGTGGCAAGGAGAAAGAATAGCAGCTATCTCTGCCCAGTAGCATTTCAGTTCTTGAGTCCTCCTTTCCTAGCAAGAACCATTTGCAGATGATTTTTTTTTTTTTTTTTTTTGGAAAAAGCCTTTTTCAGTCATCTTATAGGAACCATGATTTGGATGGATTCACTACTTCAGTTAATTACAAATGTACTTAAGATAATAAGAATGTACTAAATTAACCATTTTACCATACCCCATTTCCCAATAGTATTTCTCCTCAATCAAGTCAGTAAAAACTGCCTGCTGTTTTGTACCCCAACTACTATTAAATATCATGCTAATTGTCATTTATATGCAAGGTTTCGTATTCAGCAATTTGTCTAAAGGAGCAATTAGATCACAATCACAAACATTTAGTAGGGAGGAAGGTCATGAATCATGGTCCACCTAACTTTTGAGGAAACATATGTAAGATTGCACTGCAAAAGCTTTTTTTAGACTTAGCTCCTTATGCATGCATCAATGTTATCTGTGTAAGCAGATTTTTTAGAATTGCCACTCACATTATGATTAATATGGGTTCCTTGCAAGAGGAAAAAAGATGGGGTATATATTAATGTGCTGATACATTGTTTGATTTTATCTATAGGTAGGGTGGCCAGGTCCCAAACCCAAAGGTTCTGCCTGATGCAGAGGAAACAAACAGTGGTAGTGGTTTTTGTTCTGCTGCTCAAACAGAAACATCACCGCACCTTTTCTCTTACCTTCTTAAGCGGTATTCCAACTGCAGCACTCAGCTGGCCAGAGAAAAGGAGGGTGAGCAAAGGAGGTGTCGAAGCAGCAGAACAGAAACTCCCATTCCAGCATAATGTCTTGCCACCTCTGAGGGCGCAGGGTGTTCATTCTGTTGGACTGGTGACCATATTTGCAAGCAAGCGCATTAAAACAGAATCAGAATATGCCATTAGAGGACTATTTAAAATCTGGTGAAGTTCCAGTACCTGAGATCCAAGAACTTTTTGAGAATGCCTGCTGACATTTTTGTCCTTTTTTCTTGGAGCAGTAGATCCCACCCCCATGCCACATCACAAACCACATGGGCAGTTGGAGGGTGAGTGGATGGGTGGGGAGTTGATATGCCCCCTTAGACGTACAAAAGCAGTAGCCTGGATCCTAATCTATAGGAAGAGTTTGTATTTGACATCCTGGAAGAATCCAGTGTGCAACTTTCCCCCAATTTAAACTATATGGAATTCACAAGGGTGATTTCTTTGCTAATGTATCTACTTAGTCCTGAATGCCAAAAGCCTCTGTGCAATTAATTGCACCCAATGAGTACTCATGCCTGAATGGATGTGTATGATAGACTCATCAACAGGTTCTCATTCTCATCGAAACAAAATTAGTCTGATGTTATTTACAGGGATATGAAAGGAAAAAAATCAGCTTGAGTTATCTCCATTTTAAAGACTAGTGTTGGTTTCTTGAAACAAAATGGTGGTTCTAGTATTTCCTAGAAGAGACTTACATGATCACCTTTATCAAGATCCATAAAGCCCTTGCATGAGCAGCAAGAATGTATGTGCATACTTGGGCAGGCTTGCCTATTTTCCTTTTTGGATAGATCTTCTCAAACCCCACTGAGTCCTACTCTGGGGGAATCTCCTGTCTTTGGAAGTAGGTTTCTGGAGGAATATAAATCAGTGAGAAGGCAGGAAAAGAGACCCCAGGGCACATGTGGTGTTCTACTTATGGTCATTCAGGTCCTGGTTCTTATTCTTATAAAAACTTTCTGTAAACATATACTTTAGAAGGCAAAAAAGCAGAATATGGAACATCCATTGGCCGTGTGCTGCAGCAATTGAATCAGCTTTTAAAAATTGTCATTTCATGTTTGCATTTCCTGCCACGTCCATTTCTATTAATTCATATTAATTAATGAACTGTTTGTTTCTCTTTTGTTTCTTTCAGATGAGGTCAGTATAATTGCTTCAACAATACAATACCCAGTCTCATCAACAGAGTAGGCCATTTATCATTTTTCAGAATGGCCATTTACTAACCACAGTTCCTAAAAAGTGCATGGACAAGCTGTTGATTGTTAAGCATCATGGGGACTGCCCAAAACTGTACCCACCCCTAGTTTCCTAATGGGCTGTCCTTCTTGTTCAAAAAGTTACCATCACAGGAGAATGTAAGATTCCTGGGGGATATGGCACAACAGCAAGATCACATTGCATGCACCACACTTTTGGATATTCCTAACTATGGCTTTAAAAACTGCAAAATTGCTCTTGAAAAGCATGAATTCAGGTATGGCATTTTTATAATCTCTCATCTGCATGCATTAGCAACTACTAACAAATTTTGTGTCCCCACCTCTGGTGGCTAAATATACATTTCTTTAAGTTAGTTTGTCTAATCATAGCTTGGTTAATTCTAGCACTTGAAATGGCATATTGCTAACTTTACATTTCTTCTCACCTTGTATTCATTCCTTTCTAGGCAACGGTACGAAGGGTAAGCATTTTTATACAATTCTCATGTAGGAATGATGGAGTCTTGATCTTCTAGGGAACTGCTAAAATATTATAATTAGAAAAAGAAAAAAGTTTAAGAGACTGGTTTAAAAAGGTATTTTTAAAGTACCAAGTCAGGTCCTATTTATTTTATTTGTACATCCAAACAAAGAACCTGAATTTGGAAGTAACTACTACTCATTTTGAATGAAGTTGCTGTGGAGCCCAACTGAAATATTAAATACAAATGCAGCCTGCGCTTATCTATGGTCATTAAGAGTTAAGTCCCATTGAGTAAAATAGGGATTACTCCTAAGTAACTGGGAATGGGATGTAACCTTAATGAAAATTCATTTACACTGAGTTCAGTGGGTTTCTGATATATTTAAGACCCAGGTGTAAGTAGACTGAAGCCAGAATCTAATAAATATGGAAGATGAATAAATACTCATAGAAAAGCAGTATACTTCAACATTGTCCCTGAGGTTGTTCCTGAATTTAGCCGTATCCAATATCCATGTAAATTATTTACAAATTATTTGCAAAGGATGCACACATTTGGTCCTGAGAGCAAAGGTGTAATGAATGAATAGTGCATACCTAAGGAAGTGCAAATCATCAGATATGTATTTGTGTGTATGTATGTGATATACACATTTGTCTGCTCAGTTCATGCTAAAACTAAAGTACAAGTGTGCTCCATTTGCTCAAATTATAGATTGTTTCGTCTTTCAGTAGAAGCCATCTGTGTAGTAGTTTTCATCACACAGGTGCTTGTAGGACTTGTTTCCAATTTATATATATATATATTTTTGTTTCATATTCAGGGTCCCCGAGGAGTAAAAGGGCCACGAGGAGAGAGGGTAAAGAACTTTGATTTATGTTCACTTGTTCACTTTGCTTGTTACATGTGAATCATTACTCAATAACTGGGAAAGAGCATCATTGTAAACCCTATTATGCATGCCAAAGCTTTGACTTTCAGTATTAACATGCTAAACCAAAAGACATCTACTCAGAAGTAAGAACCACTGAGTTCAGAGAAACTTACTCCCAGATAAGTGTCTATACAGCTGCTGCTTAAATCTCCTGCTGAAATGAAATTGTTGAATTGGATCCAGATCCAGTTAGTAATGCTTTTATCCAGTTGGTATGGATAGAGCAACTTAGTCCTGACTAACTTAAGTCATCTTGATTTCATTGGGACTAAAGTAAAACTACTTCATCTTGGTTCAACCTGTTACATACCATCACTCCATCCCATTTATAGGATAGCTATAATTCCAAAGTTGTTCAGAGTTACAGCTATCCAAACACACCATTGTGTGTGTCTTCTCAGACAATTCATGTACATATTTGCCAGGCTGAAATGTCTGTAAGTTAATACATTTACTTGGAAAAATACTTTGAGATCAGAATTTGCACAACCAATGTCAATTAAGAATTTGAAAAATCATTTACAAAGGGTTGAAGTCTTTATTATTTCTCTGTCCTATCAAAGTGCCTAGGACTATTGCCAAATTTTGCAGCCAAAATATACCATCATAATAGTTTTACTTGGAATGGGTGGAGCAGGTCCTGTGTGTTACAGTATAACTAGTTAGTGGATGTATGTAATATTTTGATGAGGAAATGAAAAATTAAGTATACCGCATGTTTAGAATATATACACATAATGAACAAAAAAAAAACACATCCCTACAGAATATATAGATCAGATGAGAAAAACTCTTGTCTCTCTTGACTGGATAGCAGCAGTTCGGTTAATTAGCTGTTAGCTTACTGGCAATAAGTTGATGTTGTGATCCTGCTGATTGTCAGTGCAAGGTGACTTTTATAGCCTGCTGGGTACACCTATGTGAGTACAGCTGTTTGCAGAAACACTGAGTCACAAACTTAGTGAGCTCAGGAATGGAAGCTGAGGGAACTTGTGTGTTCTACTAGGGCTCCCCCACTATTTTCCTGCCTATTTACATAATTTCAGTGTTAACAGTACTGCACAGCAGGAATGTTGTCTGCTTCCCACAGATTTCACACAGAGCCAGTGTGGTGTATTGGTTAAGAGCACAGGACTGGGACTCAGACGATCTGGGTTCTAGTCCCCGCTCAGCCATGGAGCCAACTGGGTGACTTTGAGCCAGTCACAGACTCTCAGCCCAACCTACCTCACAGGGTTGTTGTTGTGGGGATAAGATGGAGGAGTAGAATGTTGTAAGCTGCCTTGAGCCCTTTGTAGGAAAAAGGCAGGATATAAATAAAAAAATAAATAAACAATAAATAAATAAATAAATTTCCTCACAGATCTCTCTTGCAAGAATCTGTCTCTGACAATCCAGACTAGACAGCTGGACCACACGCATTCACAGTTCCACTCATCTACTGCACAGGGGATGATGGGCCTTTATTATCCCTCCCTTATTATTAAGAGACATTATTTTAAATAATGTCTCTTGGGAAGCCAGTTACGCTCCAGAATAGTTTTGGTTGATAGGGTTTCTGTCAGGGAGGCATAGGAATGCATGGCTCAGGCCTTAGAAGAACATTTGCTCAGTGACAAGTCTCCTTCACACATTTTGTGTTGAATACCTCTGTGCATAAATATAGTGTGCACACAGCAAATAGATACATCCCTCACAATGTAATATTGGCATAACTGTCAGGGAGGTATATTTGCAGTGGTAAACATGACTATATCAGTGCTTAAGATGTGACACAACCCTGTAAGGCCTACTCCTTCAAGACCCATTCTTCCCTCAGATGAGGCCTAAATTGGAGTTACCACTGCTATTAAGTGTTTCATGTGGGTAAAACAGCCTTCCTCAGACTAGTTCTCTCAGTGCATTAGACTATAATTCCCATGGCTGACTGGGACATGCTGGGAGTTCTGGTCTAACACTGTGGGAGGGTACTAGGCTGGCAAAGGCTCGTGTAAACCAACACAATTTGTGACCCATGACATCTGACACAGTTCACCAGCCACATATTATGGCCTGTCAGGTGTTTGACCACAGTTCTCCCTGTTTCCCGAGGCCTAGGCAGGCAGCAAAAACTGCCCACAGTGCATTGTGCCTCTATTAGATTGAAGTCGTCTTCACAGCAGGTGTACCACATTTGGTTTGAAGGATAGCTAAATGAGATTAAACAAATAAGGAACCCAGGTTTAGTCAGAATTGTCAAAAATGCTCAAACATTTCAGTCTCCCAGCTTCTTTTTACAGTCACTGACAATCTGGGTACCTTCTGAGTCATGCAGAAAGCTTTGTGCTTCTTATTACCCTGGAAGGTACCTCTTCATTAGAATGACCAACCTGATGTATTGGTAGCAGGTCTGACAAGAGTCCCAAACCCTCTTTGCAGCAGTGAAAAGGTAGTCTAGATAACCTCCCTCCAGTCTGGTGACCTGTAGGTATGTGAGACTACAGCTACCATGACTAAGCTGAATGGGGAGGATAGGAGTTGTGGTCTAACATTTCTGGAGGGCACTAGGCTGGGGAAGACGGTTGCCAAGGATGTGAAAATCTGTGGCCTATAAATTGATATTTAATAAGGGCTCCTTACAACAGGTAATGACAATTTGAAGGACCAGGAGTAATTTCAGAAAGATTCTGACTGATTCTAGCCTCTTCTTATTCAAATAGCTATTAGCCACTATATTTTAAGTATGGCATTAGTTATATTTTTTAAAATCATTATTGTCTGGAACACAGACAGGCCTCAGGTCTGCTTATTAAAATCTGCCTTTGGTTTCACCTGTAGTTAAATGCAGAATTTACAGTGGTCAAGATGGCATGCATTATGTGCACATATACAATCTTCAGTAGTTGTGGTGAAGAGTGACAATCAAAGATTGTGGAACAGAAACTATTTATTCCATAATATTTGTAGCATACATGTTTTGATACATTTATAAAAACACTAGCTAGTCTGGAAATATGGTAGTTGATACATTAAATGACACGGATACATCCTAGGTCTGAGTGAATTAAATATGGGATTGGCTCATATATTCATATCAAAACTTTTCAGACATGACTGGAATGGTTAGGATACATTGCTAAGCATGGTGAGGCAGAAAAAGGTCTTACAATACCCAGCGTTTTCCAGCCAGCCCTCCTCATGCTTGTTGAGGAAAGCTGGAAGCCATAGGGCTCTTTTTCTGTCTAAACATACACAGGATCTCATGCTTACTGTATTTTCTGTTGGCACCTTCATAGTCATCCTAATATATCAAGGCCTTCCTGAAATAATATGAATCTTCTTCTGCATGTTGGCACATAAAGGTCACGTTTTCCCATCCATTTATGGAAAAGGCATGGAGCTATTCTTATATTTAATCCTTATGCACTGTTACAAATCAATGCACAATTAAATGTTTTCAATACCTGTACATAAACCTGGTGTAAATAAGTCCTAGTGTTAAATATCCTGACATATTTTTAATATACTGAGACTTTTCCACACGGTTAGTCCTCTAACAGTGCAAATTTTATGCATGCTCAAAAGTATGTCCTGTTGAGTTCAATGAAGCGACATCCACATACGTGGAGGTAAAGCTCAGGGCACCTACTAGAGCACCTGCTTTGCATGCAAGATGAGCTGATGGTCTGATTCAGGATAAGGTGATTTCCTATGTTCCTATGAGCAAACATGTATACTCAGGACTGCACTGTTTCAGTTGCCATGATCCAGACAAGTGTAAATAGTTCCATTCTTCAAACATTGTAAAGACAGGTATTTTGCATTGCACAGTATTGTATTTTTGTGTTCTGTTCTGTTCTTCACTTAATGTTATATATTTTCCCATAGGGTCCACCAGGTCCACCAGGCAGAGATGGTGAAGATGGTCCACCAGGCCCCCCAGGGCCCCCTGGTCCTCCTGGTCTTGGCGGAGTAAGGCATCCAAAGTTTTATTTTATTGGTGATCCATTGTAGTACCTAAAGGTACATAGAAGCATGTCATCAAAGGCCTTTACGTTAAAAGTAAAGTACCTTGAAGCAGGGGCTATAGCTTTAACCCTATCTTCTCGTGTGTGTCTTTACTTTCTCCTTAGGCAGAAACATCCTTAGAGACCTAGAACCATTAAAAAAACACAGAATTAATATACTGTTTTCCATTTTACTTTGCTCCCTTCTTCTTTCACTCCAGCTGAATTTTGCTAGTCTGGGATTAATCTGATGAGCTCATGCAAGTAACTTGCACTTTCTGCTCTTGCCTTTGTCAAATGTATTCTTAATATTGAAATTAATGATAAACTTAATACAGCTTTACATGATGAGGCTGTCACATTTCCATATAATTACCTACTTTATTTTTCTGTAAGCATGAAAGGTTATAGAAATACAGAGATTCAAAACCCAACATTCATTCCCCTTTAGGTATATAGGCTGAATTCTAAAGAGGCTCTCTCTTGTTATATTAACTTCTACTCTTTTTATCCTCTACAGAACTTTGCTGCTCAGTACGACGGTTCCAAAGCAGCTGATCTTGGCCCTGGACCAATGGTAAGCAAATGTTTGATTTCTCACAAAAGTGTATGTACAAATCCACATTGACCAATATATGCTGCCTCGGCTGGCCCTAGAAAGCCCTCAGGAGCTGCCCTTCAATGGGCACATCCCAGCATGGTGCCTCAGGTATATGATCTATGCATAGCAAGTCAACAAAAAGTTGCATGATAATATAAGGGCCACAGTGCTTCTCAGTCAGGCCAATATGCAATTCTAGACTCAGGCAATGGTCTGGGGGTTGGGGATGGTCTCTCTGCTTTACCTGTTTCAGTATGTGGTAAACCACTCCTGTCATGTTTGCAGATCCTACTGCTTATTCTAAGTGGGGCATGAAAGTTTGTCCCAAAGTCCTGCCCTAATCAGCACAGCTGCACCCAGGCACCGAGTAGCCAAGCCATCACCTGTCCCCTCTTGTGAACTGTGCATGTCATGATTGTGGAGGACAACCTGCTAAGAAGACATTTACTGCCTTATCTAGGTCACTTCCATGCTACATATTAGAAGCTGAGAGGACTGAGATAGACTGGCCATCCAATATCCCCTGGTTCCAACAGGGCTACCCACAAATCTAGGAGGCCACAGCATATGTGGTCAACCTACCCTACTCAAGATAAGTAGATTAGAAGTGAGTTAATCCAAAAGAAGGATCTGTACATACCCTCTCCCCTATGTACCCCATGATGTTATTGGTGGTGACTAGCCTGGTCACCTAGTTCTGCATCTGCCTTTTTACCCAACATGGAACTCAGCTAGAGTCATGCCTGTAAGCTGCATACCAAAGCACAGTTAATTTGAAGCAGACAATTGAATTTAGTTCCAAGGGTTGATGGACAGGTTCAGAGTATCATTGTTTATACCACAGTATGATTCATACTTCCTAGTGCTTACTGCTAAGGAAGTAAAATTCAGGAAATAGAGAAGAGTTTGCTATTTACTAGAGATGCTGGCCAATGAAAGTTTGTATTATGTTTATACTTAATCTGAATTCATGGAGCTGTAGGCCACTTCAGATGTTTTCTGGAAGCTTCAGATGTATGGGGAGAGGAAATGTGAGTGGCTCATGCTTCCTCTTGTTTCATTCACATATAAAAACGATTGTTCAGAATAAGGTGGATGCATGGTTGGAAGATGGCAGACGAAAGCAATACTACCTCTTTTTAATGTCAGGAAAGGCAGATGTGATTAGGAGACATATTTCCTATAGAGAGATTCTAGGAGAATTGTAAGACAGGGCCAGTTCCAGAGACTTAGCACAGCCAGGCATTTCTCAGTTCTTGTGGCTGTTGGGGTATGGAACATGTGCCTCTAGTTCCACTGAAGGCATGGATGTGCTTGCATGGAGTGTTTATAGAATTTTACCCTGTGCGGCAGCATAAATATTCCTGCATACCTCACTAATGGAAGCATTGTTAACAGTGGCCCACAGCATGCATTAAACATGTAGAGATGGCTCCATGCATAGACCAGGAAGTGTAGCTGCACTGCTGGTTCAGCTGTAGATATCAGGAGTATCCATAGCCCAATCTGCAACCATCCCTGGCCATTGAGGGTGAAGCTGGACATCTGAAATAGGAACACCTCTTCCTATTGAGTTCTATATGGACTGGCTTTACTTTTTCAGACATCCACAGTCAATGCCTTGGATCCTCAGAAAAGCTAACTTTAGGTGCAATCGTATGTATGTTTAGGTTACACAAGACCTACAGCTCCCAACAACAGGATGGGACATGCTAGGAGTTGTAGGCTTTTTGTCTTCTTAAACATGCATAGGATTGCAAGCTTAAGGAAGTTAATGAAATTGATGTATCTCCCCATGCAGCCATCTATGATCCCTAAAAAGCCACTCCACAGGTAAGGAACCTCTCCTAAACAATGTGGAATGGGCACAGAGAACCACTAAAGGAAGGAGAAGATGGACAGCATTCCCTCATGGAATTCCTGGAGACAATTATCTTGGGTTTTAATCCCAATTTTTGGCTGTTTCTGCCTCCCTTAGCATCCCCCTTAATCCCATTCCACATTGTTTAGGAAGGGCTTCTGAGCCTCTACTGAGGTCTTCTGCATTTGCAGGGCAGGAAGAGGAGACAAGAAGGTGTCATTATGTGCCGTCTTTACCTTAACCTCTTTTAGGACATGAGCCAATCCATGGAGGCTGGAGAGGGGGGCAGGGCCAGATGTTGGGGCTTGTGGACATCCCCAAGTCCCTTTGAAGCAGGAAACTCTCTTCACATATGTGGTGCATAAAAGTGATGACTGGAATAGAGCAAAAGTACAAAGAGCAGGAAATGAGCTGACAGCAGATCTCACTGAATGAATCCAGCATTTATATGTGTTCAACTGGAGTGGTAAAAGGAGACTTCCCAATCCTTTCCTCTCCACAGCAGCCACTGGAAAATGCTACACAGAGGATCTGGGAGACACTCCTGAATGAGATGAGCTGAGTGTAGGTTGGGGAAAGGGGGTTCCCTGAAAATGGGAAGGAAGCTCCTACCCTGAAGGGAGCCCTCCAAGCAATGGACAACAGATCCTGGATCTGACCACATACCTTCTTGAATTGTTTTCCTCTTAAAGAGCAGTACAAAGTGCTCAAAGAAAGTCTTTCCTAGACATGTAGGCAATGGCTTGTATTTATGTAACCCTCTTGTTCTGATGATTGTTACTAAACCTGGCAGGGAAATGTTCCATCCTTCTTGCTCCAATCTCCCACACGAGGATAATATTACTGTGCCAGTCCTCAAGAATTAAACTAAAAATATGGAAACCTCTGGATACCTCCATGAGCAAGCAGGAAATAACCAAAGCTCTGTTTGAAATGACTGTGGAGTAAGCTGTGTGATCCCTGCCACCATATAATGTGCCCTCAAAGAAAACAGATAACCATTTATTGTTATTTACAGCAGTGAGTAGGGGCATATCTATGGCTCCACTCATTTTCTTCATCTCCTTCTTCATAAAGATAAAATCAATGGGAATGGGAAGCAACTATTAGAAGAAAGATTGACTAGGGTTTTGCTTTGTTTTGTTTTTAAAACCTCTAGACTAGTTGCCAAAACTTATGATGTCAAAGTCAGTCATTTGGGCTAGCTGCCCAATTCTTCTGGGCCAAGATGGAATGTGTTGGATAGAAAGCAGTAGCATTTTTATCCTTCACCACTGTTTAGCCCTTACGTGGCATTTTAAATGCTTCCACATGGGGGACTGCAGTGTGCTTGTGCATGATTTCTCCATAGATGTTTCTTCAAGATTATTTTGAGCTAAAGGAGGAGCAAATGCAACAAGACAATGGAAGCAGTGGCATTCCTGGCTCTGAGGGCTGCTCTTACCCACTATTTGCTACATGCCTCCTTGATCACATGCTAGAACAGAAGGGCAAATACAACTTACTGTGTCCATTACCAGTCTGAACATACTGGTTTTGCTGTGAATCTGTCCCCAAGAACCTACTGGCATACATCCCCCTAATCTGGCTCAGCTCAGGCATCCTAATTTATGAAGTCAAATATCTGGCAGTGCTTTTAAAAGACAAAGAAGGAATGCAACATTTGAACTGCATTACCTGGGCTAATAGAAGGATCAGAGATCTAGTTCAGCTCATACAGTAACTGTTTACAATTGGGAAAGGAGAATCCATGATTTTGGCTCTTGTGTTTGCTTTGCTATTAACTATGATTCCAGGTATCTAATGTAACATAGAATATGACTAGTACTATGTAAATTAGCTTCATATTGTTCCTCAGTTTCAGGCAAATTATTAATACTGAACATATGTTTATCTTCTGATGCTCATACTGTTTCATTAAATCTTACTCCAATCTTTTTTTCCAGGGTATAATGGGACCCAGAGGCCCACCCGGTTCAAGTGGACCCCCTGTAAGTACATTCTGATCACAACCATTTTGTTGTTAGTCCAACACATTGGTGGAAAGAGAGCTCTCATACTTAAAAACACATGTGTGAAACTTTCCCTTGACTTAGCAGCCATTTTGTGAGAGTGCCTGTGACATGCATTCAAAAGTTCCAATGTACACAGCAATCCTCAAAAGATGGAAATCCTTGAGAACCACAAGTCTATAAGAAATATAAGCCTGTCCAAGTGTTTCCCTGGCTCTATTAGGGCCTAAACTGTGAAGGTGGAGCCATTCATGCTTACCACACCCCAACGTTCTATGTATCTTCTCAGTTGGGAGGATCACAGTATCTGGTTGCAGTGCAGGTTAACACTCCATGGTTTTCCAAATTGCCCTCTTCCCCTATAGATGACCCTCTCTTTTTTTGCCAGTTGGTCTCCGAGTCTGCAAATTTCCTCTTCAGACCCTCTCATTATGAGAAGAGCATTTACAATATTCAAAACTGACCAAAATATCTTGTTCCCCTTTTAGGGTTCTCCTGGCTACCAAGGACCTCCTGGTGAACCTGGTGAACCTGGTCAAACAGTAAGTAAAACCCTTTTCTTCTGTGAAAATGACTCAAATTCAGAGATGCCCACATTGCCTGGAAGGCCTCTTCCAAAGCTTATGCACTTGGAGAACTGGATTGGAGCTATTACATGACTTTTTTTGCAAGAGAAATGGATGGGAGTAGCAGTAAATGAGCTAATATTAAACTGGGTCCAATATCTGTTTGATTTTTTCAGAGCTGAAAATACATTGGGAGCTTGAAGGGGACATAGGAGCTTGCTAAACAAGTAGGCTATAGCTTAGGTTTCTGCAACCCTCTTGCACTAGTTTTTCTTCTATAAAATATCTGGGGATTCTGAAATGGGACTGAGTAATGAACAGCGAAACCTCCGCATTTATGAAACCCAGGAACCATAAATAAAGTGATGTCTAAAGTTTAGGATGAGGCGGTTCAGAGCTAAGATGCTGGTTTAGTCAAGTCATTAAGTGCATAGGCAACCCTGAAGTAACTAGTGCTTAACACCCATTATTTGGTTTCAAATCAACTTCTTTTTTATCACTAGGGTCCCCAAGGTGCTCGTGGTCCACCTGGTCCTCCTGGAAAGGCTGGTGAAGATGTAAGTATTCCTTTATATTTCAAATGGATTCTCATAACATGAAGTAGTACCCATTTCCTTATCCAAACATTGGCCATCCACATTCTTTTGTAACTTCCCATGGAGCCACTATGCACTTCCAGTTATCCTGGCTTCTCATTGTCCAGATTTGTTGGATCTTTCCTAAGCCCCTCAGATAAAGGATTTTAAAAAATGCGTTCTACCCAGTGACATTTTAATGGCAGCTGAATTTTCCAGCAAATCTCATTCTGCAAAGCAGAGTTCTTACTTCATTTGTGAAATATGCACCAGAAGTAAAACCTTGCAGCATTTAATAAGTTTTATCCTTAGTTTAGGTTGATGGCCTGTACCTCTTGCATAGGGATGGATCAAAAATTCATTTGTCCAAAGGGCATTAATTCATAGGGTTGCCATGATTCAGAGACAACTTGGTGGCACATAACAACAAACCTACTGAACCTGCATGTGAAACAGAATGTACTTGCACACTGAAAATCAAACTTTTTAAGAATTTTGCAATGCATAATTCAGAATTGCATACATAAAGGGAAAGTACACATAGAAAATGTACATTGGGATAAAATCACATGAATTTATTTATGACCTTTTTGCATTAGGGAAAATGTGCATGAAAATGCATACACATATTTTTGTAGAATTTTAAAAATGAATTTGCAATCTAATACAGAAACAACCTTATGGGTGGGAAATTATGAAGCTGAACAAAAGCAGAACTGAGAAATTCACCCATCGCTACTCCAGCAAATTGGGGGAAATAATTCATTTGCTGTTGCACACAAAAGAGTACATTATTTCCTTTAATGTTTCATTAGGGTCATCCTGGAAAACCTGGAAGAAATGGTGAAAGGGGTGTTCCTGGACCTCAGGTGAGTGTTGTCTCCCTCCATCCTCTTCTGTCTTCCATCCCCAGAGGGACAAAATTGTACTATTTGCTGCTGTTCCTTACTAATAGATTTAGTGTAAATATACTAATGGATATTAGAACAGACGTTCTAGGTTTTTCAAATATTTATGGTAGGGATTAGCAGCTAGTTGCCACTTGACAATGACAGGGCCATAACTTAGTAGCTGAGCACATGCTTTGCCTGCCACAGGCCCCAGACTCACCCCCCCTCCCCCAGTAAGTGCATTAGTCAAGCAGTGATGAGGAAGGCCAGTCTGCCTGAGAACCACTGCCAGACAAAATACTCTTGGTACCCTCCAGATCTTTTAGTTTACAACTCCCAGCATTCCTGAGCATTGGCCACACTGGCAGGAGCTTCTGTGAGTTGAAGTCCCGCAACATCTGGAGGGTACCAGTTTGGGAAGACTAAAGCAGACAGTAATACAAGTGAGGGCAATTTCATCTTTCATATGTGTTCTGGTCATGTATCGTTCTAGTTGCCAAACCAGAGGAAAACATTGTGTGGTGATGGAGCCATGACTATGAGACCTGCAAGCAGTTTGGTGGCTGGGAGTAAAGCTTGGCTCACCACCACCCCTTCCCTTCCTCACTTGTTCTTTTTCAAGTCTTGCTCTCTGTTCCTAAACGTCAGCTTTTCCCACCCTAGTGCCCTCTAGATGTGTTGGATGACATTTCCTACCATCTCCAACCACAGCTGGTAGATGGTGGGATGTTTGTAATCCAACATATCTGGAAGTTACCAGGCTGGGGAAGGCTGCCCCAACAGGACTGGTTGGGGCATGCTGGGAACTGTAGACTGCTTTCAGCCTAAACATGCATAGGATTGTGCCCTAAAACATTTGCTTAGATATCTCATTAATTTCAAGGGAAATGACTCCTATCTGTAGGAAATGAGCTTAGTTTAGCACAACAGCACTAGGAGCCTTTCATCCATGAAACTTAATTGAGTATTCCGGCTGTTATAGGCCCTCATTTGTATCATGCATCTCTGAATAAAGCAAGAGCCTCTTCATGTAGGAAAATGCTCTGTTTTTATAAGCATGATCTGCAAGACATAGGAGATTCTCAAGCAGTGCAGTTTGACAGATCAGTCTATAAACTGCAGGTTTTATGCAGACTTAATCATTCTTAGGGTGGATCTATTGACTTCAATGGATTTACTCTAAGCTAGTCATGGCTAACTTAAGACCTGTCGATTTCAATGGATCTGCTCTAAGTATGTGTAACTTTAGATCCAACCCACTGTGTTGTGAAGCCTTCCTCAATAATATTGAGCCCATTTACTCGGATCAGATATGTATAAATTGAGTAGCTTTTACTTAAGAATTTATGCATCCTGTCTTATTTTTTCTTTTCTTTTTCCAAGGGTGCTCGTGGCTTTCCTGGAACTCCTGGTCTGCCTGGCTTCAAAGGAATAAGGGTAAGCATTTTGCCAAGAACAGAACACAAATTTTAATTGTGCCTTTAGAAGAGAATATGTATCTGATGCTGTTACTGTGTATACCTGCTTACGTTGTATAAAACCCAGTAGCCATTTTCCACAGAAGATATTAAGGAAAGTCTCCACCATCCCACTGGCCTTTTCCCTGACATCATTTCACACGCAAGACCAGTAACCTGGTTTTAGGTTTGGGAGACACAGTCTTGCATATCCACAAAATGTCTGTGTAGGGTTGATCACAGTTTCAGAGAAGCAGTTTGTTTTCAGTCAAGCGAACAGCACAGGGAAAGAGCTTGACATGGCCCTCTGCACAATGCTACTGCTGTTGTGCTGTTCTGTTCTGCTTTGTTTGGTTTTTGTTCTTCAGAAGAGAGAGAAATCTGATTATAAAACTCCTGTGTAGTTTTACCATAAGCCTCTGTGTGGCTCTGATAACGTCAGTGGCAAAATTGTAAATACACAGTGACGTGCAGCTTTAACTGAAGATCAAAAGCAAGCATTTATACCACCATTTACCAACCTGGTACCCTCCAGATGTTGTGGATAACAATTGTCAGAATTCCTGACTGTTTGCCCTGCTGGCTGGGGCTGATAGCTGTTGAAACCCACAACATTTGGAGGGTTATAGGTTGGGGAAGGCTTATTTATAGCACCCCATGCTAGAAAGAAGTAGTCAAATTCATTTTGTCAAGGCAATGAACAATAAGCATTGTTCATATATTCTGCCATTCTCCTCAGTTCTTCCCTGGTTTAGTTCTTTGTGATTAAATTCCAAATAATTATTAAATAAATAACATAAACTCCATGTATGTTCTTAAAAAACAGCATGTGCTTCCTTGTTTCCATCCCCTGCCTCCTATGTTGTTTCCGTAGTGTCATTTAGATTGGGGAGATACCTTCCCTCTTGTTCTCTTGGAAGCCCTCTGTAAATTGATAATGCTGCAATGCATCTGTCAAGCCATGAAATCTTATAGGTTGAAGTGCGATGTCAGCATTTAAGTCTAAAGCAGCCTGAAACTAAACTATGTTCTGGGGAAGTTCCTTCCTATGCCATGTGGATGGGGGTGAGAAAGAGACTGATATTTCCCATGGCTCCATTCTGGGTCTGTTCTTCACTGATCATCCACATGCATACACTATAATGTGTGAGGGAAGGACTGATAGGATGAAAGGACAACAACCTAGAGGTGAGTTTCAGCCATCACTAATCCACTCTCACAACACATCCTGGGAAAACGCACTCCTTTTAGGTGAAGTCACTCACCAGACCAGCACCCAAACTCTCCTGTCCAGTTGTGGGGGCGAGAAGTGGGGGAAGGAGTTCTCACCCCATCAAGAGTAACTAGTCCACATTTCCTGACCTGTTGCCCTCCAGATGTGTCTGACTCCATATCCCATCATCCTCAGCAGGCTATGGCCACAGGTTGGGGGATGTCAAAGTAGAGCATTTGTTCTGCTATGGGAGTCAAGGCAGTGCTGATTACTTGAGATGCCACTGAATAGTGGGTGTACCTTGTAAAATCACCATAAGCCAATTCCCAAGTTCCCCTGGATCTGCCAGTTTTTAGTGTTCCTAATATATTAGAGTTGTATACTTATGTCTCCTTATGTCTTCTATGCTCTTATATATTTCCAGCAGTTTGTCCACCACCATTCAACTTTCCCCTATTCGGTTGCAGCAAACCAACTGGTTATATGAACATTTATGAATGTATAAAACACATTGCTTCTTCAGAATTAAAACTGTTGAGAAAGATTTTAAATAAATGCATATTTGTTAATCTCTTATAGGGACATAATGGTTTGGATGGTCGGAAAGGAGAACCTGGTGCCCAAGGTACTAAGGTATGTATGAGTATTGTTACTTTAAACTGCAATGTGTTTTTATTTTAGGGCAAGCATGCTTCCTGTAGCAGCATCTCTGTTTCCTATCTTTCCTGCATGCCTGTTTTAAAATATCACTTTGGGCAAACAGCAAGTCTTCTAAACTAAATTGGCCTATGCCATGAATTTAGGGTTCAGTTCTGAAACCTTGAGACAATTGTATACAGCAGAAAAATCTACAGGTCCAGGTCTACACAGAAAAACCTTACTAAATAATATAACTAGTCAGAAATCCCTAAATTTCAGTATGCAACATATTATGCCTTTCTAGGTGTTTCAAACAGAATACAGTATAGTCAAGTCCATTCCTGTAACAACTATATTTAAGTAAGCTTCTGTAGTTTAAGAACATGTCCTTACCTGCCCAAGTCAAAAGAGGCTGATTTGATTGGTAGATCTAACATTGCTAGGGCAAACGGAGACCATCCAATGGATAGAAAGGTGCAGGTATGTGTACACTGAATACATGTGCCCAATCCAAAATGCTTTGCAATGTGCATTGGCAGCTCTTGCATAGGTCAGGAAAAGGTTTATGACTCCTCAAGGCAAGAATCAGTGCTTTAGTCTGAATCTAACTTGATACAACCAGTGTGACTTGGTTGGTAGTGTCTTTGGATACTAGCTGCTTTGTGGGTCAGCCTGTCCAAACATGGCCACATGCAGCTATCATGGTGGCCTTGAGATAGCAGAGCATTTGATCTCAGTCCTAAGGGAGTAATTGGATTAAACTAATATTCTTTCTGTTACTCTTCTGGTTAGCAAAGAGAGCTTGTAGACTGCCCATCCTTCTTCAATATTTTTGTGTACACATTCAATGTTAGAAGTGTAGATTTGAGTCACTAAAACCTCTTGCTAAGTCTTGCTAAAGATGATAATAAACCTTGCAATACAATGAGATGCTGAATGAATATTTGTTATCCACAGGGTGAACCTGGTGCCCCTGGTGAAAATGGAACTCCCGGACAATCTGTAAGTATTTTCGTTTCATAACTTGCATGGTAGTAAATGAACACAGTGCTATTTGGGTACCATCCTATGCATGTTTAGACAGAAAAAAGCCCTGCATTTTCCAGCTGGACATGTTGGAGTTGTAGAACCTTCTTCTCTATAAATATGTATAGCATTACACCCTAAAACTATCATTTCTTAAGGTCTAATAGCTGCTTCTATTCAGCTGGTGCAGTTAATTGCCTTCACATATTCTCAGTGTGGAAGTGAAATGATACTATTTAATCAGAATCTGTAGTGATTTTGTAAGGTACCAATCCTGTGCTCACTCTTGTACAATTTCAGTTGTGTGTTAGTAACGTTACTTAGCCTCACACCCTGTTGTGGACTTGAAAAAAAGATAGATGCTGAACCATATTATTGTTGTACATGCAGTGTGGCCTATGGCAATGCTAGACTGTAATCATTTGCTTGTCTTTTGCCTTCAGGGTGCTCGTGGTCTTCCTGGTGAAAGGGGAAGAGTTGGTGCTCCTGGCCCAGTTGTAAGTGATTAACTACTTATGAAATTTTGCTTTGCTTTTATTTATTTGATTATGTATTGTATTATTTAATTTTATACCAGTTAACTTAGTGTGTATGTTTGATTTCTGTAGGGTGCTCGTGGCAGTGACGGAAGCAATGGTCCCACTGGCCCTGCTGTAAGTCCAACTTTGAATATCCTGTCTTGCACAGTCCTGTCCTGAACGATGCTTTGAGTTTGTAAGCATAACCTGCACTGTCTCTCTGTCTGTCTGTCTGTTTCATACATTTTATATCCCCCCTCCTCCTCCTCCTCCTATTATTATTATTATTATTATTATTATTATTATTATTATTATTATGGCATTTATATGTTCCCTTTTTCCTCTTGTGAGGAACCAAAGTGGCTTACAGAGCTCCATTTTTATTCTCAGATTTTTCCATTTTATCCTTATCCTTTTTATCCCCCCAACAACATCACTGTGACATGATGATGATACTTCAGTTGTATCCCACCCTTTTTCTACTTGTGAGGAATCCAAGGTGGCTTATATAGCTCAATTTTATCTTCATAACAACAGCCCTGTGAGATGGGTTGTGATGAGAGACCAGCCCAGAGTCAACCAGTGAGCTTCAAGGCTGAATGGGGATCTCCAGGGTCCCCTGTCCAACACTCTTAACTGCCACACCACATATATGTATACGCTTTCATATATTCATCATTTCTAGTATGCCTCAAGCTTGCCAGAAATATTTTTAGGGACCTTCCATAGACTGTTTTGCTCTAGTCAAGCTATTAAGTGCTAAAATACAATGTGCCTTATTGACATCTTTAGTATTGGTGACTGGATTAACTTGCACAAAGTCTGCTGGAGGTCTCCTCCAGTATAAGGAAATTGTTGGCCATTCTCAGCAGCTTGATTGGGGAGAATCCAGCATTTGCCCCATTAAAAAAAACTAGACAGCCCTTCTCCTCATCATTTGTCTAATGAGAGCAGCAGGTAACACTTGAGGTCAAAATCTAGCTTGACAGGCTACTTTTAAACTAGCTACTGCCCCAGTCTTAGCAACCAAGTCAGGTTGTTCAAAAGTGGTGGCCAAGGCCTTGCTTTTCTTTCAGTTTCTCAGTGTCCTTCCCATTTGGAAAGGGGAGATTGCCCCATAGGATAGATGGCAACAGGCTAGTATTGTCCATGGGTGTCAGTTTGCTACATATGCTGGATTAACCAGGAGCTGGTCTAGACAATGCACTAACCTACGCAGTTCTTCATTGTGGAGCACATCGCAAGTGCAACTTGCTTTGATCAAAGATGAACAGAATTATTTTACAAGTTACGCTAAAAATGCCCTTTTTTGTAATTTTTATAACTATTGAAGTATTTATTTGAGTTTGTCATGTGGCATCTGATGCCATTTTTTTAAAAATGGGAGCATCTAGAAAGAAGATGCTTATTTAATAGAATGGCAAGGGCAAAGTATTTAGGAGAAGACAGTCGGATATTCACAACAACCTTGTGTTTGGAGGTTTAAAATAGCTCAGCAAAGGCCAAAAAAGCCAACCTGAGGCATAGGCCTTCTGTAGATGGAGCAGCAATAGATAGTGATTGCCCAGCAATTATCCAAAGGCAAGGCCTATGATGACAGGACTGAAAATCACCCTCCACAGCTGCATCCATAAATATGCTGAACTGCATATCTTTGTCATTCTCATCATCAGACTGCATATCACTGATAGCTGGGGCATGTACAGAGAAAGAAGACTTGTAACTGGCCCTCAGAAGATCAGTTTTCGGAATATACCTAAATGTAGGAAATCTTGCCCCCTAATCCCAGATGCGTGGGGCAGGCTGGTGTTACTTAACCCACTGTGATTTAAAGATATCTCAGAGTTGCTCTGATATAGGTATGATTATCATTATGGTACAAAGCATCTTTAGGACAATGTTGGTGTGCTCCTGTCCACACTGTCAGGCACTGCAGTACTGTATTGCATTCCCACCTTGTTCTCTGGTACCATCCCCCTGCAAGACAGTCCACATGCTTCTCCTAGGATTGCTTTCGGAGTGCCTTTCCTAAATATTTTCTGCATTTCGACAGACCTAAGGATTGCTCAGGTCTGCAGATAACTCTTTCCTGTGCATAGACAGTTCCATTTTGGCTACATAAGCAACAGCACTCATGCCTAATGATGCTGAAACTAAAGAGAATGGCAGTAACCTCATGCGTGCACTGACTGAGCACTGACACTAAAAATATCCCAGTGAACTGTTGCTCAAGTTGCATTGGAGGTACTTAAGTTAGAACCGATACTGAGCATTAGTGGGGAATTGATTCAGTGTGTTCCCAGGGGATGAGCATTGCATGCCTATGGCTGTAGCTAAACCTGTGCCAGTTCTGGGTCAGCCAAGAAAAGTTGTGATCCTAGTCACATCTTCCAGATCTAAATGGAACGTCTTGATTTTTATATACAAGGAGCAAAAGGCACAAAGTATTCCTGAACAAAGACCTGTTGAATTGGAAGCTTAGTTAAGGAAAAGCAGTATGAGTAGCAGTCCAAAATACTTGGAGGGCACCAGGTTGAGGGAGGTTGTTCCACATGGGATTAAGCATAAGCATGGCAGACTTTAGAGTGGAAGTCTGTCCATGTCTTTACTGGGCAGTGCTTATTCATAGCACATCTGAGTTCAGGACGGTACAATCTATGAGCTACCCGGTTGAATGCTGTCTGCTAGTGATATATTGCAGCCTGTCAGGGCTTGATAAGCCCCCATGTTCCTGCTGTATACTTCAAAAAAGGGGATATACCAGTCACGGCAGCCCTCCATGTAGAGCTGGTATGTTGTGCCAAGCTGAGTGGATCCCAAGTAATGCAGTCCCACTTTATACCCACAGCAGGGAGCTGCCACCATGCAGAAGTGTTAGCAGATGTTTTTAGGGGAGTCATGTGGCCCTTTGTACAACTGATGTTTCAGGAAACTTCTGTGCATGGATCCTAGAGAGTTAAAGAATTATCTTAAAGCATGTGCACACACACACAGAGCCAGTAGAGTACATGAAGGCAACCTCATTGTCTTAGAGAGGCTCCTTCCTTAGGCAGGTCGGATATCTAGCCATTCCATTTAAGCCCCTTTATTCATCAAGTGTTTGGCTCTCAGGTAGTCTTGGAAGACGTTTCTTCTCTTAGAATGCTCCATCGCCATTCCTGTTTTCACTGCTTGCCCCCACAAACCCCCTTGTCCTTTCAGCCTTTCAAAAGATACATTAACTATATTGTGGTCATTGATTTATGTGTGCTTGGCCTGTTTATCTGTACATTTTATCAGAATGTCTGTATTCTAATCATTTCTTTCTTTCTTTAAAACTACAGGGTCCCATTGGTTCTGCTGGACCCCCAGGATTCCCCGGTGCTCCTGGAGCCAAGGTACAAACATGCCTAACAATAGGGCAGTGACGTGAAATATATCATCTCCAACGTAGCGCTGATCCACAGCAAGAACCTACAGCAACGATTTGGGAAAAATTGCTTCCAGAGAAAACAGTGTAATTGTTGTACAGTTTGAAGAATACAGCCTATATCTTTCCTACAAATGTCTGTGATGAAGCTTTGCAGAGACACCTCATCTGAGATGTCAATCACATGCTTTGGACAGAAAGGGCTTTCAGTTTTCATAGTGCTTTTGATATTTGTTTTGTCTAGAATTAACTGAGATTTTAATGTGATGGCAAAGCTGGAAAAATGAACTTAAGGAACAACTTTGAGAGAATGAAAGAGAGTGATCATTTACATCCCAGGAAGACTGCTGTTGTTATCTATCATATTGTATCATATATCATTTTTGAACAGATGTCTTCCTTCATATGGATGTAGTTTCCTACAGACCACAAGACTCAGCATGCAATTTATCAGACGATACAAGACCAGATGACATAAGAAATGGTTAAAATTTGGGAAATCTGTGCGCACACATGTGTGCACAACAGAGAGAACGAAAGGCCACAATTTGGTCAGAATTATTATACTACTCTGTTTCCATCTCACTGTGGTAGGCACATTGGATGGCATTACCACTGTTATTCATTAAAACAGCTGATGTTCCCCAGGGTTTTTGGACTTCAGTTCCCACCAGCACCAGACAGCATGGCCAATGGTCACAAATCCTGGGAGCTGTAGTCCAAAACTCTAAAGGGTGCCAGGATGAGGAAGGTAGCATTAAAAGACAGATCTGAGTGGTACAGGATCAGTTATGGTGAAATAGCCATACATCCTCACCTGCTGCCCAGTGCTTGAAGGCTTATAGGTGCCTAATGTCTCTTTTTTTCCCCAAACAGGGTGAAGTAGGACCTGCTGGTAATGCTGGTCCATCTGGCCCTGCAGGTCCTCGTGGTGAGCCTGGTCTCCCTGGTGCTGCTGGTCCCGTTGGCCCACCAGTAAGTTTAATTTAGTCCATGCCATAACTAAATACAGATTTTGGGGCCCAGGGAATTCCATTAAAAAAAATTCTCTTTTGCTTTGCTTTTTAGGGTAACCCTGGTGCCAATGGTATTCATGGTGCTAAAGGTGCAGCTGTAAGTATACCTTTGTCCAAGTGGATTTATCTTATAGAGAATGCATCTGTGTGCTCTGCAGATAAGATAATGTGATTGTAATGTGCCTGTCTGTCTCATCTTTCTTTTCGGACAGGGTCTTCCTGGTGTAGCTGGTGCTCCTGGCCTCCCAGGTGCTCGTGGCATCCCCGGCCCAGCTGGCCCTGCTGGCCCTGCTGGTTCTAGAGGACTTACTGTAAGTCGTATTCTCTGTTGAGCCAAGTGTAAAGCACCAATGACTGGTAACAGTAAAATGTTTAGGGATCCTGCTTTTTGTTGACATAATGGCATTTGACCCCTAGCATTTAATACCTGTCAGCAGTCACTATTTATGCATTATCTTACATAATAGCCATTTAACACCTTTCTTCAGTGCACAGAACATTAATTAAAACAAAAGTTGGAGAGCTGGTGGCCAATTCATATGTTGTTGGACTGTATTTCTCATCAGCCCCTGCCATCTTGGTCAATGGCAAAGTATGATGGGAACTGTAGTCCAAGTTGTAGAAGACTACAGGTTCCTCACTGTTGCTTCAGAGATGTATTATCTTAATAATCCTTATAGTCTACTAGCCTGTGAGATAAGCCACTGCTCTAATATTTCAATTTTGCCTGTGAGAAGCTGAGAGAATAGTGGGGCCACGTAATTTGTTCTTAGTTAAAGCCACATTTGAACCAGGAACTTCACAGTTCATTGTGTTCTTGTGCTGCACAGGATCTCTGCCTCATTCCCATATGTTGTGTTGGCTGAATATTTTTGTGTGGGATCTTGAAATGACACTCTTTGCTATGGTAGTTCCTAGCTGCTTGGAGAACTTGTAGCTCAGGTGCAGTGTAGAAAAATGAAGGCACTTTCTAGAGTACTCACTGCTGGCATCTCTTGTTCTGTTTGACTCTAGGGTGAGCCTGGCCCTGCTGGATCCAAGGGAGAAACTGGTAACAAGGGTGAACCTGTGAGTACTGTTACACATAATACAGTAATATGGCATGTCATTGTTGTTGTTTGTGGTGGCGGGGGAAGTGTTGTTTTCCAAAGTAGCCTCTTATGCAAGGTGGTGACCCTTTTTCTCTTTACAACTGAACAGGGTTCACCTGGCCCAGCTGGTCCTGCTGGTCCAAGTGGTGAGGAAGGCAAGAAGGGTGCCACTGGTGAGCCTGGTGCTACTGGTATACCTGGACCTGCAGGTTTAAGAGTAAGTCCTTTGCACACTGCAATAATTTCAGGAAAATATCAGGGAGATGCATGGGAAAGGAACGATCACTAACTGACAGAACATATGCCTGGTGTACAAAAGGTCTCAAGCTCATTTCCTGACATTTCCAGATAAAGGGATCAAGTAGCAGGTGCTGGGGCTGGCCTCTGCCCAAGACCCTAGGTGTTGCCGGGTGGGCCATGGCTTGATAGAGGATGCATATACTTGCTTTGAAGAGGGAATGAGATTCCCAGGCCTGGGAGAGACCTCTTCCCAAGACAAACTGTGACTACTATCCAATACTAAGCTCAGCAGATGATTGGCCTGATTAAGATATGGCAGTTTCTTGTGACTTAAGAAGAGCCCAACTGTAGCAACGCAGCTAATTTTTTTTCTTCTAATAACGAATATTTGATGCCATGAAATATTTTCACATTAAAATATATTCACATTTAAAAATCACTATTCATCAAAATGTAATTGTGGATTTTTAACATACTAGATCATCATAATCGTGTTAGGTTTTTAAAACCTTCTTTAATAGAATATGACTTCTTTTGCAAAATCATGAACAGTTCTCAAGACCTGTTGAATTTTAGTCAACTAGAAGGAAATGAAATGTTTCTTAGAAGGCTTGGTTAAGCTTAAAATCTGGTAGAAATCTAGAAAAGATTAACATAAGCACAGAGGAGAAAAGGTACTGCATTCTGAGTGCCAGAAAGTAAATGACCTAAAATGGAATAAATTTGGAATGTTAGGGCACAATATACTACATTTTTATTTATTGTGAAAGTGTAATCACTTATCATATTTTCTGTCCATTGAATTAATCCCAGGGAAGACCTCAATGCCTACATAACTATGGAAACATACTGTGTTATGCTCCTGAATGTTTGTTTTTTCCCCCAGACCCATATATTGGCAGGTTCTAGCTCTAGCTCTGGTTCTGTCTCAGCTGGTTTCTCATTTGATCCACTGGATTTCTCATTTGATCCACTTTCATTTGCCATTAACATCAAAAACATGGGTCAAGTTGCAGACATAAACCTGGCCAGACCAACTCAAGGTTAAACACATGTCCTAGTGACCCCAAGATTGGTCATTTAGTGCACAGCTGCATCCCTCCTAATGGACCTAATTATAAGAGATGCATCATGCTGCCTTACTATCTGCTGGTCAGGGCTGGCATCAAAGGAAGCATGGTGGGGCATCTTCCAAGAAACCATACCCCAGTAGGGGCCTACTGACAAGAGCTCCCTAGAGCTGCTCTTGCTCTTCACCACTGCAAGCTGCATGTCCAGCAGCTTCTCATCTTAGTCCAGACAACAGTGGTGGTGGTAAGGAGGAAGATGCCACTGCCTACCCATTCATTGGCTGTCTGCCTCTCAAGCACATGGCAGCAATGACAAGACAGAGGGTGAGAAGCAACAGCTGGTGGCAATGGTAGTGACTTATTGGAAGAAGAGGGCCATGGAGGGTGTTTTTCCTCAAAACCTGGTGTGAGCCCTGGTCCTCAGAATTAATGAGGAATGACACAGGAGCAAAATGTAAGCTGGGCAGTCTAGCTGTGCATACTAAATATATTGGTCTTACTAAATGAGAAGGACTTTCCCATTCTCTTAATTGTGCTCAAGAACAGCTGAAAAGAGTCATGGGAAACAGCTCCTTGGAGACCTTAGCTTTTCAGCTTCACCGCATCTCTCTCAGAGGATATTGGCATCCAAGGCCTCTTACATGTTGAAGGAGATGGGCCAAGTCTTGGATCTTTCTCAGGAGCCCCATTTGCACAGAATAAAGAGACACTCACCATACAGCCTATCACAAATGCCAAGCATTCCTCCATAAATCCTTAATTACAGCAAGGCTAGTCTTTGCCTTCTGCTGGAAACTGCTCTATTTCTCACCAGATATATGTGCTCTTTTTACTGTAGGGTGTTCCTGGATCTCGTGGTCTCCCTGGAGCTGATGGCAGAGCTGGTGTTATAGTAAGTTATCTTATTTTTTCCAGTTTGATCAGTTTCATGACTTAGTTGCATAGGCTTTTTCCTCCACAAGCAAGATGGAGGGAAGAGACTTTTCTACTACTATTGTTGCTTTCTCCAACTTGAACATGATTCACTTTCTCTTTAGGGTCTTGCTGGTAATCGTGGTGCTACTGGCCCTGCTGGTGCTAAAGGTCCCAGTGGAGATGTGGGCCGCCCTGGTGAACCTGGTCTCATGGGTGCAAGGGTAAGTATGGAAGAGCAAGGGATGATGGGGGGGAAGCATTCAAGCAGATGGACACATTTATTGTGTGTTGTTGTTATTGTTAGGGAAAAGAGCATGCTGAAGCTGCATGGCTTTGTTTTTAAATGGCCCATTTTAAAAAATATTCCATGCTTGATTGTGATTTTTAATTATGCTTAATATTTTCAATGATGATAGCTGCACTGTATTCAGTAGCTTATTCACTTCACATAACTATGCTGTGAGGAGTCTCATTGTTCAAATGCAAACCTAAGGCAACAATCCCTGTACGCTTTGGTTGCAACCTATACCCTATTATTAGGGAACATAGAGAATGAGCAACACTGAGCCCAATGGCATTTACTCCTAGGTAGGCATATATAGGATTGCACTGTTGGGATAAATCTGACTGAGTCATTGGAACATTTTCCAGTAAACCTATGTGACTGGTAGATAGTAGCATATTCTTCTATTATTTATATTTATAAATGTTAAGTCTGTGTGAGGGGAGTGGAAGTAAGTTGCATTCCATTTCAAATAAGCAAAATAAAATAAAATAAAATAAAATAAAGCAGCATACTAAGGTGAGGCTTCTGCTCTTTCTAGGGTCTCCCCGGTCAATCTGGAAGCCCAGGCCCTGCTGGCAAAGAAGGTCCTATGGTCAGTATTCTACATTTTATTCTGCAAAGATAAATTAAAAATGTGTTTAGATTCCTATAAGTTCTTAAAATGTGTTTAGGTTCTTTTAACATACAATGTTCTTTAATATTTGTATCCTATTATCCTGGCAACGTGCCCATGAGCTGGGCTAGACAAAGACATTGTGATCTGCTCCTAAGCCTATTGCTGAACTCAGACCTTGAGCCTGCATCTTGCTCATGGTCAACCCTACCTTGGACCCCAATTAAAGACATGCTTAGAAAATGATAGCTGTGTTGTCCATTGAACCTACTGATCTGGGATTCATATGAGTCTTGGTTAACAAATTTATTAATACGACCCTGCACAGCTCTGATGGGTCTCTTAATACAGCAAGATTTTGTCTAGATCCAAAGAAGAGAGTGGGAAGGAGTCTGGACACTATGTTGTACACTAGGAAGTTGCATGAATACAACTCCAGGACTTTAATAGCAGCCTATAGCACAATGATACTGACTGATATTGTAAAAATATTTCCAGTTATATATTGTTGTTGCTCCAAGTTCTGTGTAACTGGGGTGGAGCTCTTTTCTGGATTTCAATGGCCTTTGCATTAGTATTGAAAAGTGATGTGAAATGGAAAGGAAGTGAGAGACACATCTTCCAATTTTAAAAGAAATCCCAAATAAAGCGTTTTGCTCTTGAAAGATATATGGTGTGTAGATAGTGAAGCTATGGACCTAGAATAAAAATAATGAACTTTTCCTTCTAGGGTCTCCCTGGTCCTGATGGTCGTCCTGGCCCAGTTGGTCCAGCTGGTCCAAGAGGTGAACCTGGCAACATTGGATTCCCAGGACCAAAAGGTCCCAATGTAAGCACAATAGAGCTTTGTGGTGTCACCATAAAACAACATGGCAACATGTTGCCCATAAATCTAATACTGTGCAGTGTTTCTGGTGTCCCAGCAGCAAACGCCAGCATGGCAGCACTGCAGCACTGGTGCAGTGCTACAGTCCATGATGTCGCCCTGCAGCTCCCTTCCTCTCAGTACTGCTTTGCTTGCATAAGAAGTGTTGGGATTGAGCTGTCAGCCCCATCAGCATGATCATCCACTGTCTCCTTTTGCTTTCGTTCTTTCTTTGGAGAATGGTTGCGATCCAGTAGAACCTCTGGTACATGCACCAGCTGTTGCACATATGCACTTCAGAGAATCAGATTTGTTTTTGGTGCTATAATCCCAGTGCCTTATTTAATTGCAAACTAAATGTGGGGTATCTTTAAAAAGTGGCTTAGCAGCACAGAGATGGGGAGGCGAGGAATTAAGCCAAAAATGACCAGTTACTTTAAGGGCTGAGCTTCCAGGTCACATGGTGCCATGCTTTTTGGACTGCCAATTCAAACTGCCAATGCAGCATTATATGTCCAAATGCTCCATCATAGAAAACACTGTGGGAAGCTAGCATGTGAGTGAGATAGTATCCTAGTTTTGCCATCTCCCCAGTATGTTAGTTTTCTATGTTCAAAGAGCTGGTTGTTACTTGGGGAAGCATTAAGACATGATCTCCCTCAGTTGTTCTAACTGGTACAGTCCCAATAGTGCTGTATCCTCTGATGGTCCTGAGCATATAGACATTTGAATACAAAGCAATAAATGAACTGAAGCTTAATTTGGTTCTACCTGTCTATGTTTGACAGACCACTTTTTCCTGTGTGTAAAAGAATGTACTCCGTGACACAGAATTGGAGATGGTGGTTGATTAGTGTACCTGTAAGACTGATTCAAATCACAAGGCCAAAGATTCCTGTCTGCTGGGTCAAGGCCACAATGAGATAGACTGCCCAGGAAGGTTGTAGAATCTATTTTTCAGGGGCTATCTCCCCGAGATAATTGGAACAGGGAATTAGAGAACTGGTGGCTGTTGCTCATCCACTTTTCCATCATTTACTTACCCCTGCTGGGAACAAGATTTTCTGAGCAGAACAATGGCTACTGTAAGTAGGAGAAGCAGCAGATCCAGGGATCTATGATGGAAGATCCCCTGCTACAAACAAAACCTAACAGGTGCCCAGTTGTGCCAACCCCTGATGCCAAACCTGATCTCAAAAGTATGAGATGCATGAACTAAGATGACATAACCTGAGTATATCTATTGTTCATTCTGAAACAGTGTCTTACCTTAATGTTCCTTACATTCTCCTACAGGGCGAGCCTGGCAAACCTGGTGAAAGAGGTCATGTTGGTCTTGCTGGCCCACGGGTATGTGCAAAAACTTTACATCCTGATTCCTGTGCTGAATCCAAGAGAAGGATCTGTTAGTGTAAATGTAGGCAGCTTTCCAACATTAGCTCATCTAAAAAACAGTATCCCACTGGCATTTAATCTAAAGTATACATTTAAAAAATCCAATCTGAGTTCCTTTTGTTGGAGGAAAGGTAGAAAAGGAACTCTTGCAAGCAAAGGAGATTTGTGTGGTGGGATGAGGGGGTCTGCACTGAGACTGACCTTAGCATAGTCACAAATAGAGAGTTCCAGGTTTATTAACTAGATATTTAGACAATGCTTTTGAGGAAATTGGATTTTTAGAAAAACAAACACTAAAACTTGTAGTAACTAAATGTTTGTCATTCTAGGGTCCTCCTGGTCCAGATGGAAACAATGGGGCTCAAGGACCAGTTGGTGTTGTTGTAAGTACACAATCAGCATTGTTAACCTTTGATGAAAGTGCACAAGTGCTAATATTTGGAATGGCTGACCGTTAATAGACCTTGATTTCCACATACCTTCCCCTTCGTATTTCTGGAAGGAAGCAATTTCCTGTTATATGGGCTGTGTTTAGAAGCACAATAAACTGTGGTTTATCATGATGAGAGAAAACCTAGGTGAGCTTCCTCTCCCCTCCCTCCTTCTGGCATAGACATGAGGAGAAGAGTAGAAGCTTTTGCTCTCTTCAGTTAACCATAGTTGAGCATTGCATTCACATCCTATAGTGTGATTGGTTGGAACTAGCCTGCTCCAGAAAACATGCATCTTCTTTCTAATAAACCATAGTTAAGATGCCCCTAGTTCATTGGGTTTGGGCAGCACAACAAGCTGCAGCTACTAACAAACAAAAGTAAAAGCTCTGACATGTCTCTTTGTAACTGTACAAGAGGGGAATGGGAAATACAGAAGCCCAGGTCTTGCTCCTGTCACAATATGCTGTACTTATGTTGCTATCCAAGCAAAGCCACTATGTGGTGTAGAATGTCCAAGACTGTATGCATGCCCACACATGTGCAAAGTCTTCAGGCACTTATGTTTTATTTTCCCTAGGGTGCTGTTGGTTCCAAAGGTGAAACCGGTCCAGCTGGCCCTCCTGGATTCCAAGTAAGTAGCTAATGTTATAGCAGAAGTTGGGCTCTCTGCAGTTGGGAATTATGCATGGTGCAAATGGTATAAAATGTCTCAATGTACCTATGCCCATCTTGATTGTATATGTATAACAGTTTATTCCATAAATTCTGACATATACACCTTTAATTAGCTTGCTGGCAAGGGAGGTAACAAAGGAATCAAAGTTCAGATCTTACAAGGTTTGCTTTCTAGGAAATTCAGTGCCTGAGGTCAAAGCAAACTCTAGCAGAACAGGATTAGTTAAGGCCTGTGAAACTCTGTTCGTGTTCATCTGAACATGCATAAATTCAGCAGGGGGACTTGATTTACTCTTTCCACCTTGGGTCGGAACACATGTACTAGCATTGTACACATGTACTAGCATTTCTGTGTGTACAGCTGAAGGTACTTCGGTTCAGTGGCACATGACACCTAACTTGTAAAATGAGGAGGCAGGAATCGCAGGCATAAGTATCATGTGCAGGCTTAATTTGGGTTAGAATCACTGAGTGCATTCCCACTGTGTCAGGGTGCATCAAGTATAAATACATTTAGGTACACATGAAGGGAACAGTAAATGTTTTGAATTGATCAAAATACGTTTCTCTAGGGCAGCTTTACTCATCCTGGGTCCTTCCAGTTGTTTTAGACTACAACTCTCATCAGTCACAGCTAGCATGACCAGTGGCCAGATATAATACTTTTCAGTCAAATCATTTGCAGGATCCCAGGGAAGAACTTTGGTGTCTTGTATAGTGCTTTGCTTTCATTTACGGAAGTCAACAATAAAGTCCATCTGCCACACTTCCAATGCAGCTGGAAACTAGATAAAGTCATGAGATAAAATACCAAAGTCAGGTACCAAGGATTTCAGGCTTAAAATGGGGGGGGGGGGGGATTCCTACGCAAAGAACAAGTATCACTTGGTTTGCACAGAGCACAGTGATGTAACAAAGGCCAATTCAGTTGGCATATGCCTTGGTCCAAGCCTTATAAGGCAGCCTTCTCCAAGGTGGTACAACTTTTAGATGTACTGAACTATAACCAAGCCCATATTCTTTAGACTTCCATCCAACATTTACTAATGCCTTTTGCAGCTCCAGTAAGCTCATTTGTATCCATTCAAAATGCATATGAAGATTGCCTATTTTTGTGTTTACTTTGTTCATTTCTTTTCATTTAGGGCCTTCCAGGTCCCTCTGGCCCAGTTGGTGAAGCTGGCAAACCAGGTGATAGGGTAAGTAATGAACATGCTCATCCGTGAGATATGAGCAGATAAGCCAGTGTTGCCCAGCATCCTAACCATCACAGCTGCACACTCCGTCATCATCTTGGGCCATAAAAGAATCCAGCATCCAGGTTCTTCTTTCTTGGGTTATGATGACTTTTCCCACAACCTGTCTTCCATGAGAGGAAGGGTTCCATACTGTAAAATCCCTTCACCTGATTTTGCGGAATCCCTCCTGTCCCACACACAGAGCTCATCCTATTTAGTGGGGCATCCTGACACTTGGTAGCATTTTCAGGAGGTTTCAACCACCATGAGTAGGAAGGAGTGGGAAATACATTTTGTCAGTGCTATTGATCCAGTTGCAAATCTGGATTCAGCTGTTAGTGTGGTAATTCTAGCAGCATGCTGTGTTTACATCTGAGCAAACACAATGTGAGCTGCTATGATTTTAAGTCAAGTCATCTTTTGTCTCACTGGGTGCAATAGTATTAGACATCTTAACCAAGAGGAACTAAAATCTTTTGAAATTTGGCTTAAATAATGTATTTTTTGTTCATAGGGTCTTCATGGTGAATTTGGTCTCCCTGGTCCTGCTGGTGTAAGAGTAAGTATTCTATCTTACTATTATTTATATAATTATAATTTCATATATAATTCCTGAAAAGAAAGAATTTTCAAATGCTTCTTTTGACTGCAGACTGTTTAAAACATCTATCTATAATACATTGAACTGTATTATTGTCATATAAAAATTCTAACAGTAAAGAGCAGCTGTTCCAGTAACACTGAATTGAAATAATACTGATGTTGCTATATCTGCTTCATGCCACTGATATGCTCAGTGCCAAGTATGTGTAATATTTATATATGTATATAGTATATACATAGCACATTATCCAAAGACTTTCATCTAAAATTCTTGTTTGCTCAGGCACATAACTTGTATTTGTGTCTGCAATGGGCCAAACAAGATTGGGAAGAACTCAATTATGAAGTAGGAAATAAAGCCAAATTAGCAGCTATCCTAAATATACCAATAGGATTTATGTCTGAATCAATGTCTTAATGTTGTACAAGTGCTAAGTGGTGTTGTGTGTCTAACCTAATCAGAGTTTCAGGGCTTACCACAGTAGCTTCCTGAATTCTTGACTGGGTACAGGAATCTTGCCAAAGAATAGAACCTGTCCCGAACCCTAAACTACATTCAGTAGCTATGTATTTTGTATGAGCTGACTTGCAAATATTACCAGTTACCTTGCTATTGCTTTCAATCAGCTTCAGTGTTAAATATTAAGGTTTCTCACCCTAAAAAATTAAGATCTCTGGACTAAATTTAATGCTTCACCAATCTCTTTTGTGCAGGGTGAGCGTGGCCCTCCAGGCCCAAGTGGTGTTGCTGGTCCTACCGGTCCCCTTGGAAGCCGTGGCCCATCTGGTCCACCAGGATCTGATGGTAGCAAGGTAAGCCAGAAAGTTGCTATTTTTCTGAAATCCTCAGGAGGGCAGTGTCAGCAAGTACTTAACTGGATGCTGATGACATCAACCTCCATATGTGTGTTCCTGAAACATTTCATCCTCAGAACGTCAACAACATATTTCTGTGATTCTGCATTACAATATTGTATTATACCAGAATATGGGAGAGAGTGCTCCCCAAATAATTATGGTTGTTTTCATCATCAGACCTTGTTGTTCACGGTGGAGCTTTTAGAATTTGTATAGAGAGTGCCCACTGCTGGTGCATGGAAGCGCTTCTGCATGTGTACTGAACTGTCTTACTTTGTTGCTGCCTAAATGGCAGCTCTCCATGAAAAATCAAAGTTGACTTGAGAAGCTTCAGTAAGTTTCAAGAGTGGGTTGTGGTATAGTGATGAGAGAGGGCTGCTTTTAGATAAAGGGGACCTGGAAGCCTCACTGTGCATGGGCTGGTCACTCATGTGGCCTTTTAGATCAGGGCATGTGTGTTTTTCTCTGCTTTCACCTACTGGCCTAGATACAACAACACATATACTCAGTAAGGATGGCCTGAGGGTGACACCATTTACTATAGGATTGGTGATGAGGAGGCAAAGCCTCAAACAGAAAGGGGGTGGTCTTATTGGGGAGCAGGGGGAGCTCTTCAAAGGATAATGTTCATGATTTCTTTAACTTTCAAATGTGGTAAGTTTGATCTGCTACACAGGGGTAGGGCCCTCTGTACATTCTACAGTGTGAGACCCTGGACTCCTGCCCCCAAATCCTGCCATCTGCAGTGGAAAGGGGACAATATACAATGGGTTTCTGTGATCTAATTTTGGATCAGACCTGCACCCCTGGTGAATTCTGGAGTGGATCAATTTTTGGTTCCCATCACTCCCATACACAAATATACCAAGTTGAGGGATGGGTTCCCAGGAAATGTCTTGTTAGTAAATCAACAAACTACAGGCCTAGATGAAAAAATATAGTTCCATGCATGCCAGAAATATATTAATGGAGCTGGTCTAATTCCAGATCAGCTCTGAACACTTAACAGATACCTCCTAAATCAAACTGTCTTACTCAGGCCCATCCCAATCAAACTGGTATAGGAAATCTGCCATTTCCATTTAATATATATTCATCTACTTTTACCTGAATGCTTGATGAATGGACACATGAGATGAAACTAATGCAGTCAGTTCTTTAAGTACCTATCCAGAAGTACCTTTCAGAGAACTAGCAAATAGCTGATGACTAGCAAATGCACTGCAACATGTTACTATTTTTTCTTGAGGACATTTCAAAGTTTAATCTTTCCTGTTCCCTTTCCTTACTTTCCTAGGGTGAACCTGGTGTTGCTGGAGCAGCTGGTGCTCCCGGCCCAGGTGGCCCTAGTGGAATCCCTGGCGAGAGAGGTGCAGCTGGTATGCCAGGAGGCAAAGGTGAAAAGGTAAGGCAGCAAGGTGAAAAGGTAAGACAGCTGACTCCAATAGCTGTCACAAGATTTTGTGCATAACCTGCTCACAGAAGGCCCAGTTTCAATCCCTGTCATATCCAAGTAGGGCTGGTAAATGTGCGTGTCTTTACCGGTCCAAGACAACTGCTGCAACCAGTATAGACAATACTGAGCTATGAGAACCCATGGCCTGATTGGTGTAAGGATATTTCCTATGGTCCTATGAAACAAGCAAGTGGAAATGATTTACAGGTTTTTTGATACCAGCTCAGAGAAGGTTTTACTAGCTATTTTCTAACCATAAGTCTTTCTAAGTCTTAAACATTCACACTGAAGCTCACACTTGTGCTTCTCTGCTTACATTCAGTCTGCCAGGGTTAGAAATTATCTGGTCTGGTGCAGACAGACTGAAAGGCTGGTACTTGTGTGACACTGAAAGCAGCAAGTATAGTACATTGGGCATTGCAAGAAATTTGCTCTGCAAATTGGTTCAATGAAGAGATGGATTGTGGATAGAATTATGTTAACTCCTAGTATGTTCTAAACAAAGAAATTAGATGCTTTTGGCTTTGTATGAATTTGTACAAAAGGATTGGACATTCTTCATTGCTCCATCAGGAAATGCTGAGTGCATACACTGAATCAGACAAGAAGGGCTGTGGGAAACAGCTCTAGAGAAATGCAGGGCTCTCAGCTTTGGCAGCGGGTGCAGGCCTAAGTTCATCTATCTCTGAAAAATGCCTGCCTGTTACATCTTCAGTTTTATTCTTTCCATCCCCAATCTTTTCTCCAATAAACGGTGCATTCTAAAAACCATGTTACATATTCAAAATACTCTTTTGAATAAGTCACTTGACACAGCCTTGCTAGTGGAATGCAAGAAATCAAACTATATATGTGTTCACCTTGATGGTATATTTAGACAAATGTCCACTGACTGGATAGTGTTGAAGAAACTGTGTTGCATGCAGTGGAGACACATCCATTTGGTAAGCCATTCCTATGGGATGACTTATCACATCAGAGCATCAAACATCTTTGGGCTGCTCACAAATATGAGGACATGTGGCATTTCACTGCCCATAAATGCCTGTAGCTCCCCCTGATGCATTCTCCATTCGGCCAAATATACAAAACTGTTTATCACTTGAATCTACCCTACATATTTAGATTAATATTGGGGAAATAGCCTTGCTTTACCACTTCAAGCATTAATACTTTTTAAATAGGTTTTTCTCCCCTTGTTAAGTGGCTTCTGAATCTTTTACTGTACGTGCAGATATGTAATTGATTGATTGATCTGTTACATTTCTGTAGTGCCCAATAGCCAAAGCTGTCTGGGCAGTTCCCAACAATAGGAACATCAATTGTAAAATGACCCTGAAGTTAGTGTTTTATAGGAATACTTATATTCCAAGGTAGAGAGAACATGGGAATCTCAAGCAGTAGGATATAAATAAAGTGATGTGGATTATTGATAGTGCGATTCTAGTGTTGTCTGTTGTCACTAGATATGCCCTTAAATGATCAAGCACAGCAATCCTAACCCCCAGATTTAACTTGCTGGAGATGTTAAGGATCCAGCAAAGGTGCTCCTGTGCTTGTGGCACAGAACCCTATCTTCATGGCAGCCCTTCTTCCCACCTCAGAGTTCCGTGAACATGAGGCTGCTGCCAGGGGGCTTTCTGCCAGTAGTAGCCAAATCAAGGCATTCTGGAAATGATTCTCGGGCAAGGTGGAGATGGCCTTGGATTCACTAGATCCAAAGCTGCTTCATTCTGCTAAAGAAATCCAAGATTGATCCTCTTGCCCACACCACTCTGGTACAACAATTTTACCTCTAGCTGTAAAAAATAGTCATTGAAATCCACTCCTTGGCATGTGAGAGACACACAAACACACACTTTCTGCCCTGGTTGGTGCAAGCCAACAGACCTTTGTCTGATGGGATAGTTCTGCTGCCTTCTCCCCAGTGCACACACATGGTTTGGATCACACTGTCAGATTGCTGAGAAAGTTTAGGCACTGTTGTTCTGTCAAGCATCTTCCACTGACCATCAGAATTCATGCTGCTTTCTTCCTATTCCAGGGACCAACAGGCTTCAGAGGAGATGTTGGAACAACTGGAAGAGATGGTGCCCGGGTAAGCATGCTGCTGCAGTTACTTTGCTGTTTTAAGGAGTTAAGCCCCAGGTCTCTTCAGCAATTAGCATATGAGGCTGGAGCTGGATTATGCAGTGTTAGGTAAAGCTACCCATACTGGAGCAGTCCCTTAACCTTCAGCAATGGTCCCCTGAATTAAACTAGCTGCAAAAGTAAATGAAAATATTACTTATTTCCTTCATTTAAATCAGCTTTCTCAGCATACCATGGCTGCATTTCATCAACCAAACTTTAGAGTTATTCATCCTTATAATAATCACAAAGTTAGGGCACTTAATCAGAAGAATGACTACATTGTTTTGTAGTGGATTTTTTAACTGAAAACCTCAGAGGACAGAAATCTTAAACAAAAAAAAATCATCTGCAGAGTAATCTGTAATTACTAAAAAATTAAAAACTTCTGAAGGGGAAAAACACTCCGGTTTCAAACATATGATTCTGTTTTATCTTCAGGGCATTCCTGGTGCTGTTGGTGCTCCTGGACCTGCTGGAGGTTCTGGAGAGAGGGTGAGTACTAGTCTTTTCAAGTACTGCTAGGCACATTCCTCACAAAAAAAAAAAAAAAAAAAAGCAGAAAACATTCTTATGGGCATGGAGAGCCACTGGCCTTTGCAGATGTGACACATGCCTCTAAACCCTTCCCTGCAGTTACTGTACAGAAACAACAGCCTGCAATGCACTGCAAAGCGTTTCACACCTGAAAGAGTTATTTGACAATTAACACAAAAACATGAAATCATATCCGGACTTATTATGCCTAGAGTAGAGCCTTATTTCATTGGGCCTGCTGTGACTATGACTAAATCTTGATCCATCTCATTGAGGATAAGCCAAATGAAGCTAGTTGAATGAGGGTCCTATGAAAATCAGTGGAACAAGTTCATTGTGACTTAGGCCATAGATTTCAATGGAAGTTAAGTGCTGTTAACTGTATGGATCCGGCCCATTGCTGATAATTTTACTTATATACTGTCCACCATGATGGATTGCAGGGGGCAGGTTACAAACATTTAAAATACAGTGTGTGTGTGTATGTGTGTGTGTGAGAGAGAGAGAGAGAGAACAACACTGAAATTATGTAGAATATATAAAACTCAACAAACATAGCAGCACTGAAAGATAAAACCAGACTTAAAATGCTTAAGGCTGCAACCCTATTTACAAACAGCTCTGTGGGGCTTACCTCTCAGTAGACATATTCCAATCTGCCATACTAACAAACATACATATTTTTAGCTAGGTGCCTAAGAGTTAGCAGCTTTGCTATCAGGTTAATTTCCAGGAGCATTCTGCACTTGGAGTGCCAGTAGTGAAAAGGCAATTTTTCAAGTTGATGCCTTTCCTGTGACGGAAGAGGGACTCAAAGGAGGGCCTCAGCAGACCTCAGGATGAAAGTAGTCCGATAGATAATATATTATTATTAATTATTATTATTCCTGAAAACAGTTCCAAAAATTTTTCCAATAATTATCTTATTCGTGTTAATAGTCCTTTTCACAAATGAGGGAATTAATGCGCCAGGTTTTTCGGCGCCAGGTTAAGACCTTTTTATTCCAGCAATATTTTAATAGGTTTTAATATTGTCTTTTCTATGTTTTTAAGTGCAGCCAGTGTGGGTCAGGAATTTATTTATGTTATATTTTATGTTATAAGCCGTCCTGAGGCTTTTGCGACAGGACGGCATATAAATATTTTAAATAAATAAAATAAATGCAAATAGCTTGTCCAGAGCAACACAGGAAACTGAAAGTTGGGCTGAGATGTGAATCTGTCCAGTCCTGATATACTCTCTGCTAGGACTAGCTGTCCAGACAAGTTCCATCTTCATCCACAGAAGTATGGCTTCACTCAGAAATGAAACTGAGTAAAGGGAATTCCTCAGAAATAAGCAAATAAGCAGTGCAGTGTCATTGCTCAGTCCTGGAGGTATAACTAGAGAGAGATTGGGGATGATTCTTGTATTGTTTTGTGCAAGGGCCATGAGTCCTACAGTTGTTCTGAGTGGTGCTCTAGCATCCCTGTGGAATGGTAAACAAAACACAGTGCCAGGATAAGAAGGTTCATTTTGCTTGTCTTTCTGTTCTACAAAACAGTTTGTTAGAATTCCACAAGTTGGATCCAGGCGTAGTTGTTCTTAAAGTAGACCCATTGAAATGAGGACTTCTGAGGCCTATGCGTATATTTCTCAGACAACATACCCCAACACAAACACACGTGTGACGTGAAAAATTGCATTTTAACTCAAAGGAGATGTCTAAAGAACAATTTTGTTATGGGGGATCTCCATTTCAAAGGGAAAAGCCCAGTTGGGCATAGTGAAGCTTTGGGAATATCTAAAAGTGTTTTTTGGATTCCAGGGGCTGATGAGCATTTTTATCTCTCCCTTCAGACAAAAAATTTTATAAAGTTTCTTAGAGATACATTTTTTAAAGTCTGTCTGGCTCTCTGGCTTGCAGTCTTACAAGCAGGACCCAAAAGAAAGAAGTGATGGGGAGGGGGAAGATAAAAGCAAACTTCAGGGAGAGGTAGAGCCACACAGAACTGGTCTCTGAGCACAGTTAATGGGATGAACTTCTCTCCCTCTGCAGCAGTCAAGAGACAGTTGAAGAAAAGTCAAAGTCATTTGGCCTTTGACTCAATGTAGTGGGTTCTATAGTGGGCTATTCTATATCCCAGTAACACTGGTCCTTTGTGCATTTTAGGGTGAAGCTGGTCCCGCTGGTGCAGCTGGTCCCGCTGGACCTCGTGGAGCACCTGTAAGTACTGAAACATGCCTTTTTCAAAATAAAACATCCCAGATTCTAGAGGTGCTTCTTTGGGAGAGGTAGTGTGCTTTTCTCACTAACTCTGCTTTTTATTTTCCCCTCTTCCTCTAGGGTGAACGTGGTGAAGTTGGTCCTGCTGGCCCTCCCGGATTCGCTGGACCTCCTGTAAGTATAAAGGAAAATGTTCATCCGCTCTAGTTTTGCAGTGGTTTTAGCTTGCCATGGATTTTGAGTCACATCCTTTCTTGAATTTTTCAGGGTGCAGCTGGTCAGGCTGGTGCTAAAGGCGAAAGAGGTCAAAGAGGACCTAAAGGCGATGTAGGCCCACAAGGTGCCATTGGTGCTGTTGGTAATGGTGGCCCTGCTGTAAGTAAACTGAATCTTAATCCATTTATTCCACTTTTATACCATCCAATAGCCAAAGCTCTCTTGACAGTTCACACCTACTGAAAACATAAAATACTACATGATCAGTAAATACAAAAGGTTAAAATGACAGGATCAAATAAAAACCAAAATAAAACCTAACAGCAGTGCAGAAGTTTAAAATATAATACTGATTGAAAACAATAGAATCTGAACAATTAAAATGCCTGAGAACATAAGAATGTCTTCACCTGGTGCTGAAAAGAATATGATGTAGGTACCAGGTGAAGATCTGCATGAAGCCCATCACACAACCAGGGTGCCACAACAAAAAAGATCCTCTTCTCAGTAGCCACCCAATTCACTCCGTTAGGCAGGGCTCCTGGGAAAGTGCTGCTGGCAGATGTTAATCTGTCCTCCACTTCTGACAAAATGACACCATCTGTGCAGAATTAATATCGTGCAGCCATGCTTGTAAACTCATTGCTGAGCAGTGGAACAGCGTGCTTGCTAACTGTTTCATCATCTTGCATGGATAAATTCCTCAAATCTATCTCTTTCAAGGTTAAATGCATATTTATACCATGTCATGGAGCTTTCCCATAGGGCTAATAGGCAAAGTGGCGTGGGTCTTTTAAGCTATTATTTACACTGAAAGAAATATTCAGATTTGATCAAAGAGTAAAGACTTTATTTAACCTTCTATCACATATATTATTGGTAGTATGGTTTGAGTATCAGTGCTAATTTTTCTTGATTTTTTTCCAGATGAGTTTCAATGCAGAGTAGTAATATTATTGCAAGCATATATCACTGATAATAATTTCAGTTATTGCTCTGCGGTGGCACCCCAGTTATGGAATGTGCTCCCCAGAGAGGTTTGCCTGGCACCAACAGTTTATTCTTTTCAGTGCCAGGCTAAGACCTTTTATTTTCCCATTATTTTAAGGCTTGACTATGATTTTAACTGTGGGGTTTTATTGTATTAGAAATTATATTTTTTTTTTGTAAAATTGTCCTGAGACCTCAGTAGCAGATGGGATATAAAAGTTTTAAATAAATAAATTTAAATAAAATTCTGGTGATATCCCATCAGTGTTATAATTCATAATACAAAATGTTGGCATTCATGAGGTCTTTAATACGGCCAACATTTTTTGTTGCCTTTGCTCTTATGGCCTTAAGGTGGGGTGGGGGGGGTGGGGAGGAGTGAACAGTTCTACAAACAAGCTGTTAGTAGTATGATTGCCATAGTGAAGTCATTACTGGTGTTTCCTTAAAGAAAACTGTTATCTTCTTTTCATAGGAGAATTTAACTTAAAAAGGAATCTGCTTCCAGTAAAGCTGTTAGCATTATTTTCATTGAGTACAACTGGAATCAGGATTATTTGACAGCTAAAATATCAAGGTGCTTCATTCAACTTATATTTTCCTCTCTTTCTTCCATATAGGGTCCCATGGGCCCTGCAGGTCCTGCTGGAGCCCGTGGTGATGGCGGTCCACCTGTAAGTCCTCCTATAAGCTTCTTATACCACCCACCTTCTCTGGAGTTATTGGTCTTTTGAATTCTAATCACTCTCTCTCCCTTGGTCTTCTTTGGTAGGGTGCTACTGGTTTCCCTGGTAATGCTGGAAGACCTGGACCTCCTGGCCCTGCTGTAAGTAGTTACTGAGAACAGCTTCTGAGTAACTATTAATAGGTTAGAATTATGCAACAGTTAAATACTTCTGCTCTTTCCCAAGCAGTGCTTTAGATAGTTGGGGGTTCCAATCAGCAGTTGTTCATTTAGAAGATCCAGAATGATGAACAAACGTCCTTTCGCCACTTCATTAAGCAGAATGAGCCAGTTTTCCCAGGTAGCAGATGCTGGAGTAGGGCAGCATATGCACCCCACTCTTCCACCCCCACAAGTTCCTAAGCTAGCCTGCTTCTTGCTCACTAAGTAGGTATGCTGTCTTTGAGTTCAATGGAGGATGTAGTTCCACTGACATTATTTAAGTAAGAGTCAGCTGCAATTATGGACAGGTGTGGAATTTGAGGGGAGATGGTACCACCTTGTATTTGCCTCCAACCACAACATGTCTTGGGCTGGTCCTGATGCAGAGCATACATTTTAACTACGCAGGTAAGGCCCCTTCCCCACATTGCAGGCTTGCATTTAAATTCTGAAGTTCAGAGAGCAAAAGGTATAGGGCTTGGATTAAGCCACTGAACCAACTCTGTAGCACCCCAGTTTTACAAATTTAGAGCAAGGCATATTTTAATTATTTTCACACACTTTGGATCCTCTTTTAGGTCATTACTTTAACATTGTCAGTAGACTGGGTGAGGTTAAGACAAGAGAAGGGATAAGCAACATATTGCCTGAAGGCACCACCAGGCACAACCACTGTTTCTCTGCCCCTGTTATGGTGCCCCATTCCTTTTAGTTTCATTAACAACCTTCTTACCAGCAACTGTGGTTACTGTGAAATAGGTTTCAGCTAGTGATGAAAACTTCATGTTTGAAGTGATGGTTTCATGTGTTGGGGCTCAGACCCCACTTCTGTTTTGTGCTCAGCCTTTTGGGATGGTTACTTGTCCTTTGCCATGCCTCCCACAGCAGCCATTTTATGGTGGTTCTCAAATTGCCAAATGTGGCCACAACCCAAAATGTTTGCCTGCCCTTAGATTAGAGTAAGGGACTGATGGCAGAGAGAAAATATCACAGAATTTGAACTGAGGAAATTTGCAGATTTAGTTTCTAGTATCTCAGCCTAAAAGGAACTCAGGAAACAAGACTGAGAGAGGCTCTGCTGGAAACATAATATGACAGAACAAGGCAGCTTCACTTACATATTCCACAAATCTTGCCATTTGTGTATTCTCTTTTGTGAAGTGGCAATTCTTAATGCATAACAACTCTTTTATTTAATATATCTAGGAGGCTGCCATATGCAGCATGTACCTATTCAGACAAGTAGGCAATCTAGCTCTAGCCCTCATTCCAGATATGGACCTTTCCCAATGCACCTAGTGGCAGAGAGTGAAGGTTATGAAAATGTCTACATGCAAGCATTTTTGCATGCTAATTGATTAGTTATATCCGTTTAATAATTTTGAATGCTGTTTCCATTTGCAGCTGGCAATACCAGTAAACTTGAACATTATAATTTTTCAGAGATCTTCAGAGGAGAGCTGATAGTTTCTTCATCAGAATTTTCACTTCATTTAAGAAAAAGAAAGCTCTTTCCTCTCAACTGACACACCTGTCATACCTGTCTCAGGTTGTTTCTAGCATATCTGGCAGAAAGGCTAGGGATGTAGTACACTTGGAAAAATAGGAACAGTGAACATAGAAAGAACCAGAACTTTAACTTTCTATGGGCTAATTTGTGGTTGTTGCTCATAATTCCTTCTTCCTTCATTAATCTGCTGCAATCATATACATAAATAGCTAAGAGTAAGTTCCATTGAAGAGTGGAATCTACCTCTAGTCATTCATGTGTGGGATTGGGTGATAAGTCAACTAATTTCATGCAAACTTTTTAGAACAGAAAAGCTTGTTAGAGGAACTAACAACTCTACAAGGATACAATGCCCTTGACAAGTATCTTTGTCCATTGTTTGCTGTGTAGTTTAATATTTTGTTCTGTATGACATGGTACAGCAGGGATGCCACTGCATAATTACCAGATATTTTATTCCTAGGGTGTCTCTGGTCCCCCTGGACCCCCTGGCCCAGCTGGCAAAGAGGGTATTAGAGGCCCACGTGGTGACTCTGGACCAATGGGCCGTGCTGGTGAGACTGGTATTGTTGGACCACCTGGTTTCAGCGGAGAGAAAGGCCCAACTGGAGAGAGTGGTGCTGCCGTAAGTTGTTCAGAATCATATCTCATTCTTCTCATTGACTTGTTGCATGCTGTTTTTGTTGTATTTCCGACAGATACATGTGTCAGCTAACCCAATTCACAAGTGTGTGTTCAAAGCACATAAGAACCTTTTTGCTTTAAGTGCAAGTACAGTCATAAATCAGGAGAAGGCCCTCTGGGGGTTTTTTGTGTCCGGCTCACAGCATCTGCAGCCAATGTGGACAATTGACTGGGACTATGAGTAGAACTAGCACAAATCATCTGGAGGGCACCAGGTTGCCTTCATCTGAAACACACTCAGACATGTCATTTGCTGATCCTGGGGTCACAAGCAGCAAATATAATGCGATGAGGTCTCTGAGTCAGGTTCTGTTGATTACACCCCCAAGTAATTTTATTTTATTTTTTACTCTGCCCATAAATCTGACTGTTCTCAATAGGACTGCTCCTATTAGGGCACTACTTTCAAGACTATTTAGTTGCATTTACTGAAATCATCCCTATGATACACATTGAGTTACTATGTGTATATATCCACAAGTGCGTAACCACAAATAGCATTATTTATTAAATACATTTTTATCCTGCCCAATAGCCTGAAGGCTACTAAGCAGAATCTGTCATTTTGTAGCAGAAGTGTTGAGGTTGTACCCATGTCAATTTTGCTGAGCAGAAAATAAAGCTAAAAGAAGACAGCATATGAGACTAGCAAAGACATTTCTCATTGTAGAGCTGCAGAGCTCTGAAATGCTAAGAGGTGAAAAAGATTTTTATGGCAGAGGTGCAACATTTCCTCAAAATGTTCTGACATCACATAACTCATCCTGCACAGCCCATTGCATTGGGCGGCAGATGTTGCTGTGAGGATGAGGACTGCTGATCACACACATGATCTCTAAAAGACTAAAAGGAAATGTAAATGAAGACATTGATATACCTGGCTTTACCTCAAATGGTCCTCTCCTGGTATAACATTACTGGGTTAAAAATGGGTCTCAGTAAACTGTGACCAAGCCTTAGCAAACCTTGACTTGCATCTCTGAATTCATAGTCACAAGATAACTAACCTGACCGTGCATGTTGAATTCATTGGGAGTTACTGCTGGGAGAGTGTGCATAGGATTGCAGTCTTATTTAGATAGTTTAAGGAGGGGACACTACCACTGCAGAAGTAGTCAGAGTAGAGGTAGAGTCAGAGGGGGATGTACATGCCTGCATGGAGAAAGGGTAGCCCTACCCACTCTGAATCAGTAATTGACCTAAAAAGAGGTTAGCTAGTCATGCTCCAAATTTGGTACTTAGCTGCACCATGGAGGCCCATCAACTGCTATCTTCAGTTACCAGCAAGCAGTGCCCTCCAGCAATAGCTCCTCCTTTTCACTTCCCTCCACCCGAGTTGCTATTCAAATTTAGCCTAGTAGTACATTCAGAAGCACTTGATGAAATGCCACTGCTTAGCTTGCATTCAATGTCCATGAAATATTTTCTTTATCTCTATTCAGCTAGCAGACAGTTCAGGTTTGCACTATAAATGGTGCAGTCATGCAACTTGTGGGTTTATTCACCCCATCAACCCAACAGCATCATAATTCTACATTTCTATTGATAGTTTAGTGCCTAAAACTTGTCCCGCTGTAGCCAGATCCTTACTCAGAGACCAAAGCAGAAGACCATAAAACATTTTTACTCAAAGGATATAATCTGCATTTCCTTGGCAAGGTGGCAAATATCCTAGTGTTGTTGTTGATGGTGGATAACATTCCAAATCTCTTATGAACAGGCGAAAAAAGAAATTTTGTATCAGGATCTCAAGATATAACCCTGTCTCAAACTCTGTATTGCAGTTCTACATCTATAATAGTTCCTTGCTCAAGTGACTGCTTTTGGGCTATGTTAATAAACAAATGACCTTTACCCTCCAAATAAAGGCTAATCCTTTCCTTTTACATTTGGTACACCAGACCTGCACAAGTTGTGGCCCTCTCAGCTGAATGTACTCCACTAGCTACACGTAGCTATTATCCTTTATCAGAAACTGGTGTTATATTATGGAAAATATTTTTTTAGAGAAAAAAATATTGTTTTCATTTAAAAGAGTGAAAGTATCTTTGTTATTCAAGACCTTAGGTCTGTTCCACAATCCCACACTTAACTAGAACGATCGGAAGTGGAAATTAGATCTTAAGGCAATGTATAGAAGACCTGATTTATTTTGAATATGTTTAGATATTAAACATGGGTACATCTAGGACAGAACTGGGCTATTCTGGGATAAAAGAGAGTGGATGAAAGGGCCAGGAAACATAGCTTTACATTTACAAATGTGAAATTTGCTTGTATGTAAAAAGAATCTGAACACTGTATTCTGTTCTTGTCTCTTTATATAGGGACCTCCTGGTTCCCCAGGTCCTCAAGGTATCCTTGGAGCTCCTGGTATCCTTGGTCTTCCTGGCTCTAGAGGAGAACGTGGTCTCCCAGGCGTTGCTGGAGCACCTGTGAGTAGTGTTGGCCAAAGTGGGATAGTGTAAATTGGTGTCCTGTAACAGCGGGGGGTTGGACCCGATGGCCTTCATGGCCCCTTCCAACTCTACTATTCTATGAGTCTAAAGCCCATGTTGCCAAAATTATGTTGCTAAAAATGTGATTCTGTTGCTTTTGCATATAATAAAAAAGTATCTGGAAAAATAGTAAATTATTTGAACATCCCATTTCTTGTTGGGATGTTCAAATAATTTATATGTAGTGGCAAGACTAATCCCCTTGTGCAGGGGTATATGCAGAGAGGAGAATACCTAAATTTAATTTTATCACTTCCCCATTAAAAATCTGTCCCCAAACTTTAATTTATGTATTATATTCATATCCTGTGTGGGGTTCGTAAGCAGTCCCATCCAGGAACTGACCAGGCCCATCCATGTTTAGATTTAACCAGGGTGTGATGTACCTTAGATTAGAGGAGAGCAGATTGTGGCTTCTTTGTTGTTTCATCCTGCAACTCCCATCATCCCTCATCACTGGCTACACTAGCTTGACTGATGGTAGCTATAAGACAAAACCTCCAGAAGGCACAAGTCACTCACCCTTGCTTGAGACTACAGCTTCAGAATCTATGAAAAAAATGTGGCATCAGTATTGCCTACCAGGCGTTTGCTGCTGCTTTGACATTGTGAGTCACTGCATAGTGGCCACATTTTATGGACTCTGGTATTAGGATCCAGTGCTGGCCTGAGAGCTCAGCTAGGCCCTTCATGGTAATAGTCGTCCGCTGTCTTTGGCACAGACAAGGATAATTGTTCCATTCTGGCAGGGAATGTTTTTGACCTTCTCTGAAGGAAGGTCAGGGATTGACTGTTTGACAAGTGGAACAGCGACTACTGGTAATGTCTTGAACACTGGCCCATCAATCCTTCATTTGCCCTGGTAACCCAAATTGCTGCTTCCACTAGCACAATGATTCTGAGACTGCCCACATTCTTTCCATCTGCTTGCCCTAAGTCCTCTGAACAGGAGCCTTATCACTTTTATATTCTGACACTATCAGTTAAATAATGAATGGGCATGGATTATATAAAATATTCCTAGTTTAGTGTATGAATAACAGTGAAATGTTATCTGTGTTGTTTTTGTTTTTAGGGTGATTTTGGCCCCGTTGGTATTGCTGGTCCCCCAGGTGCTCGTGGCCCATCTGGTCCCATTGGTGCCCCTGGTGTGAATGGTGCCCAAGGCGAAGCCGGGCGGGATGTAAGTCATTCTTTTTGTCACAAGAATGGAAAAAACATAAAACACAAACACAAAATACCCAAGTTTCCTGAAGTGTTTAAAAAAAGTAACTGAATGCCCAGTTGTTTTTCTTCCTCACTGAAGAATTGTAATTTTAAATATTTATTTTTATTCTAATGAAATAAAATGAGGATAGATAAATGTGATAGGAATTGTAAAGTACTTGGTGCACTGAAGTGCACTTAAAAATAATTGACAACCATGGGCTTGTTTCCATGGAGTGATGCACTCTAAATTCCATCACTTTCTATACCAGAGAACTAAACACATGCATACTCCCAGTGAAACAAGGCTGCAGTAGTGCATACAGGCAGTTGGTAAAGTGAAAACATAAGAAGGAAAAAGTATAATGATTATATTTAAAAGAAAACAAATCTTTCCCAGTGAGGTACAAAGTTTATCCACTAGTCTAGAAAATAGATCAGCAGTCCACTGTTTTAAAGTGAATAAGGTGAAGCTATAATAGGATTATCATAAATGTACATAAACAAAATACATATAAATAAACTGGTATGTTTTCATATTTACATAGCACTTAACAAAACACTGTGTACTTAATGATACTTAGGGATTTTCACAAATTACATTAGGGATAAATTCTGTGGTATAAAGAAATTGTCCCAAAAATGCAAGCACTGATTTGTGCACTATTAAAGTTTGGTACTCTGCCTCCTTCCCCCTCTTTCCTTTTTCTTTATATGCCATCAAAACCATCATAGTTATTACTAGTGAGTCATAGAACTCAGCAGACTTAAGAAGTTGGATAAGGGACATACTGTTGTTCAGTATTCCACAACCAAAGGTAAAACTAGAAATTTGGAACAAAACGATCACATTGCAAGTAGAAAGTGATACAGGATAAGTGAATTATTCCATTTAAGCCTTTGACCCATTTTGTGCCTTGGGGATGGAAAGAGGCCGTTAAGTATGTACTGAGATTTTTTATTTAGTAAAGCTGAGCTTCTTAAAAGGTCTGTGTGATATTAACATATTATTTCTCCACAGGGAAATCCAGGTAGTGATGGTGCTCCTGGTCGTGATGGTGCTGCTGGTTACAAGGTAATCCTGTTCTTCCTTCTCTAAAGTTAGACATTTAGACTGTGCTTTTCACAAGCCTATTTTCACATACTTATCTAAATCAACTGCTTTTCTTTTGCATTCATCTTTGTAGGGGGAACGTGGTGCTCCCGGCAACACTGGTCCCCATGGTGCTCTTGGTGCTCCTGGCCCCCATGGTTCTGTTGGTCCTGCTGGCAAACCAGGAAATCGTGGTGAACCTGTATGTGACCTTTATCCATTGTGTAAAAAAAGGATTGCCTTTTTGTCAAATGAAAAAATGAAAACAAAAGTCAGATGTGAACCGTTGGTGTACATTGAAGAGGATGGGCCCTGTGTTAAGACATATTGAACCCAGCCTCTGTCCCTGGAAGGCTCTTCAAGAGATATCGGTTAAAGCATTAGGAAGGCTTACTGCAAAAACTCTTGGGAGGACCTTTAGGCAGAGCTTTCATAATCTATTCAATTGACCACTTGTATTTTATATTGAATTTAATTGTGATTATTTATTGGGCTGTGTTTGGGATATTATGCAAGTGGGGCCCTGTAATTAATTTTTTATTAGTATTCCAGCTTGCCACCTGTTCCCTCTTCCAAGTCTATTTTATCCCATTATCCCTGTTTTAGTCTATCCTATTCTACTCCCTCAAATAGGTACTTAGCATTCTGTGAGCATGCTTGGTCCTCATGGTGCTGTTTGGGAAGAGTTTTTTCCTTAAAGATATTTTGCACTTCTGCAAACATTGGGGTTCCACTGAGCATGTCGATACCTCTCTCTTGTTTTTCAATTTTTGCAACAATCCTGTTGACACTTATTAGTTGAGTTAGCAATTAGAAAAATTGATAATTTTTGTTATCATTCTGACCCCTGATAGGGGATGATAAGAAGACACATACATTTTGATGATAATGTTGTCGATAATACTTTGGGCTCTATACAGCCTGTATCTGTAAACCACCCTTTCTCATCAGTTTCCATGCCTGTACAAAAGCATGTGCTCACAAGCACACTATTTCCCTGGGTTCCATAAATTTGGTTTAGAAACATAGAAACAGCAAGTTGGAAGGGGTCTCCTGGGTCATCTAGTCTGACCCCTGGCTCCAGCTGGCTCCACTCATGACATGCCTACCATGTGCATGTCCAGTCTATCCTTGAACACCCTCACTGATGGGACTTCTCTGGAAGCCCATCCCATACCCTGGGGGTCCTAACTGTCAGGAAGTACTTCCTGGCATCCAAATTGAACCTTGGTTCCCTGAGCTTTGCTCCATTGGAACACGTCCTGCCCTCCTCTGCAGGGGAGAACAGGTCTCTACCCACCTCCGTGTAACACCCCCTCACGTACCTATGAGGTGTAGGTGGCTACTATGCACCTATAAGATGTAGGTGGTTTGTCCTTCCACTACCACCTACATCTTCAGCACAGAGAATATTCTGCTGCTCATGTTGATAAGCCTTCAGTCTCCCAACTTTTCTTACACTTAAACCTGTCTCTTCATTATCTTGTGAAGAGGAAGCAGATAACAGGGTTGAGTAAGGATTTCAGTAAAACAGTAGGATGGAATCATCTTCATTCCCTGTTGATTACTCCGTAGTATGTACCTCCAATTTTCCTTGGAGCCCTACTCTGCAGAGTACTTGCATAATGGCTAGTCTTATCCTATAAGCTACAGTGTATGGTTGAGTCTACCACTGCCGCCAATTCAGCAGTATCAGAATGCAGCAGGAATGACTCCATTCCTTATCACTTCTCAATGAACTAGAAAGCAACCTGTGGGATGGAAGCAGTTTATTTTGTCCTCAGGCGGAACAGCAATGGGACAAGAGGGGGCCGTGGTATCATCTGTCACTCCCCTATGTGTCATGAGCTTTCTCCCATTACACTGTGGAACTTCCTTGGAACTGAAGCCAATTTGCAGTCAGTTTCAGAAAGCAGTGCCTTTGGCAAGGAGGCACTTTCATTCGGGCAACCATTTGCTCTGATTGGCTTTGGGTGTTATAAAATGTATGGGAAACAAGGAACACAAGTGACTCAAGCTCCCATTCATTGTTTTTCTCTGCAATGCATGCAGGAGAACTTTTACATCTCTTGCCCCATGGTGAGATGCATGCTAAACTGTGTTTCTGCCATTGGAGAAATAAGGACTTCTAATGCAGAGCACAGGAAGGTTGAATCACTATTTGCTTTCCTAGTTGAATAAACAAATGGAACAACTGCTAGGCAATTTATTCTTTAAACAGGGAAGGGCATTTTGTCATCACAAAGTGCAATAAGCATCTTTTCTGTTGTGCTACCATTTCAGGGTCCTGTTGGTGTTACTGGTCCTGCTGGCCCTGCTGGTGCAAGAGGTCCTTCTGTGAGTCTGTTTTCTGTTTTGCTAAGTCACTTCTTTTAAATAGAAACACACTTTGGAGATAGGAGAGCAAGACTTTGGAAATCAGTTAGAGGGATACATGAATCATGAGGAAATACTGTAATGAGTAGTAAATGGCAGTAGTATTTCCCTTATAGCTGGAGGGTTTTGAAATGATATAAGAATTTTCATGGGGCACAAAGCACAGCTAAAGATGTGGGAGAAATTAGTTTGATTCACATTTTAGGGTGAACTTGCCTCCTTCTGCACTTTCAAGATCTTAGTCTGTTCCTTTCAACATAGAGCTGCCTTTCCCAACCTGGTGGCCTTCAGATATTTTGAACGTCATTTCCTATCATCCCTGGCCATTGCTTCCTGGGACTGCTAGGTGTCGCATACCAAAACATCTGGAATGTGCTGGGTTGTAGAAGGCTGGTAGAGTGTTCACCAAAAGATTTAATGCAATAGAAAGGAGGGGAAATCCCAAAAAGTGCAAAGGAATATTTACAAAAGGATCTGTATTCATTTTGAGCCTCAGTTCTTGCTTAGTGGAATCATTTTTGAATCAAAGACTGATCTTGCACAAGTCTAAAAAGAGAACTGAAACTATCTCTGGGGATGGGAAGCTCTGAAAATCTTCCATGCTGACTTTTTCTTTCCCTCCTGATAGGGCCCACAAGGAGCACGTGGTGAGAAAGGTGTTACTGGTGATAAGGGACCCAGAGGCATGCCTGGTTTCAAAGGACACAATGGACTTCAGGGACTGCCTGGCATTGCCGTAAGTATATTGTTTGAACAATAAAACCAAATGACAACAGAAATAGAGCCAACCAGATGAAGAGAAAGATTGCCATGTCTTGGGAAAAGCATTTCTGGGGTAATCCCTACCTTCATAAAGTTTCCATTTAATCTAGGGACCTGCAATAAAATGTGGTTGTGTAACATGCTCCATTCTGGGTTCTAGCCAGCAAGCCAGGCATGCCACCTCCCAAGATACTCAGTTTCATTCTTCCTACTCTCCACCCCATTTCCATTTCCACCCCAACAGTCAATCCCCATTCCATGTCTACTGAGTGTTGTCTTCATTGGATTGTTTTTGAGATTGCATTCTCTTAGTATACATTTTTTTCATAAACAGTATTTTGGGGTGTCTGCAAATCTGGGGTTCCCCTCCCCCAATCTACTGATACCTCTGTCTTGTGCACAGATGGCATTATTTTGGTTGCATGGGAATTGACACAGGGAGAATTATTTCACTATTAGTATATAGGACAATACACCATACTGCCTTCTATGGAATCAAACCACTAGCTCAGGTAGCTCGATATTGCTACTCTGATTGTCAATGCCTCTCCCAAGTCTCAGGCAGGCATTCAACTACCTAAGATTGTTTTATGTTCTTGTAATTTACAAAAACACAGGCACTGGGAATTTGAGCCTACTTAAAACCCCAATCCTCTAGCCTGGAAATCATGCCCCCAGTTGCAGATTTTTGGGACAGGCTACCATTCTGCAACAATGTAGGAAAGGGATTTTATACACGCTGAAACATTATTAAATAAACCATGTGATTTCTCAGGGCTGACTCCTCCTAATAAACAGAACAATGAATGAACTGTTGATCAAAATATGTCCTCTATTATATTCCCCCACCCAAAACATAGTTTACCAATTGTGCCTGGATAAATTTACTGTAAGGAGACAGGATTAAACCACTACAGTGTTTCCAATAATTGCTTCTCTCTCTCTCTCTCTCTCTCTCTCTCTCTCTCTCTCTCTCTCTCTCTCTCTCTCTCTCTCTCTCTTTCCCTCCCTCCCTCCAGGGACATCATGGAGAACAAGGTCCAACTGGTGCTTCTGGTCCTGCTGGCCCAAGGGTATGCCCATTTCACTGATACTCTCTATATGGCATTTCGAACAATCATATTGTATTAAAATTCTATGATTTATGTATGTGTGTGCCCAATCACATACAAAGCACACTGATTTGGTGATATTTTCCCTCCCTTATTCTAGGGACCTGCTGGTCCTTCTGGTCCTCCTGGCAAAGATGGTCGCAATGGTCTGCCTGGACCTGTTGGTCCTGCTGGTGTGCGTGGATCCCCTGGTAACCAAGGACCTTCTGTGAGTATGAATGTGGCTGCTGATGGGATGACCTAAGACTAGAACTTTTAACATGAACAGTATACTCCTTGCATGCACACTCAGTAATAAGCTCTGTGGAATGTAGTGGGCTTACCTTGGAACATCCATGCATATGGTTTGGCATTTGTGTATTTCATTGCAGCAAAGTTAGTTTTACTAAGGCTGCAATTCTAAGCACACTTCCGAAGGAACTGTACTGTTGTAAACTGCCAGGGACCATCACCTATTGGATGGTACAGAAATAAATAAATGCATAATAACAAATAAGCCCCACTTGAACAGAGTAGGATTCAATTCATATGAAGCAGACTTACTCTGTAAAGTTTGAAATGAAGGATTCCTCCTTCCCCTTTTATGTATCCTAATAGCAACCTACCTTCCAGTCATCATCTTGCTCAATATTTTATAATGAAAGCAGCCTGAATCCTCTTTGTTGGGTGTTCCAGAAGAGATTTAATGACATGCCAACCCTAGTTTTAAACACATTTGATTAGTGTAAATCCTGTTGATTCCAGCATAGCTTTACCTTTTAAACATCTCCCAATTTTAAAGTATCTCGTTGCTTTTCCCAACCTGGAGTTCATTCTGTTGAGATAAACTGAATTTACTATAAAGTAAATGTCTGTAGTACTGGGAGCTGAGGATGCAATCCTAGATAAAGTTACTTGGGAGTAAGTCTCATGGAGGATAATATGGCTTATTTCTGAGGAGGCATATATAAAATTTTACTGTTTGCTCAGGTTCCTTGCAGAGAGGGATGGTTCTAAATTTCTTCAATTAATGCAAGTTTAATGTGGCCCTCTAGATATTTCTGGAGTACAAATCCCATCATCCTTATCATTAGTTATGCTAACTAGGGCTGATGGGAGTTGTAGTCCAACAACATCTGGAGGGCCACCCATTCAGCATAGATGCCAGAAGACTTCCTCCAAATGAAATGAAAATAACATTACATTGGTGTGGATTACTGGAGTAAACAGGCCTAAATAAAATTACTTGGAAGCATATCCTGAAAATTTTAGTGGATCCATATAATAACAATGCAGTGTAAGAGCAGTTTTTTAAAATTGAGACTGTAGTGTAAGAGCACTTTTTAAAAAAATGTGTTCACTCCATCACTATGTGGTTGTTTAAATTACAATTTCAGACAAAGTTAAATAATGTAGATTTCACTTGAACTGTTTTGATATTAAATTCTTCCTGATTTAGTGCTCACACTGAGTCAGAAAAAGGGTCCACTGTCTGATTGGCAAGTGCTTCATTTACAGCACATGCTCTACATTTTGTATCTACTGCCTATTTCCAACCTTAACATAGACCCACTTACCAGACACTTCTATACCAGACACTTCAGACAGGAGTTGCTGCTCCACTGGCTACATTTAAGCTATTCATATAGATTAGGTATTGGACCTTCTGCAAAACCAAGGCAAACTTGCTTTAAACAAATGCATTCTTATTTTTCTATCTCTGAACATATTTAGGGTCCCCCAGGCCCACCTGGTCTTCCTGGCCCACCTGGTGCCAACGGTGGTGGATATGAAATTGGGTATGATGCAGAATATTACCGGGCAGATCAGCCTTCTCTTAGACCCAAGGACTATGAAGTTGATGCCACCCTGAAAACACTGAACAACCAGATTGAGACCCTCCTGACCCCAGAAGGCTCCAAGAAGAACCCAGCTCGCACCTGCCGTGACTTGAGACTCAGCCATCCCAAATGGAGCAGTGGTATGTTAGTGCTAGTTGCCTTGACTGCTAACTTACTGGTTAGGTATGTCATTTGGTGTGGTACTTGGCTGGCTTTGGCAGTTTAACCTTATCAGTGAAATTCTGTGTGTGCAGATGATGACTGGGAATCTGTCTCTGCTACTTAATCTGGCCCACGGATGCATAAGAATATATCCTCATAGCTTTTCATTTTTGTCTTGGACAGCAATACACAACAGAAAGAAAGCAGACACACTAGTAGATAGTTGGGGCTGGTCTCGTATCTCTCAGTCATCTCTGTGATTGTATATGGGAGGGTAGGCAGACTTCACTCACTCACTCACTCACTCACTCACTCACTCACTCACTCACTCTATTCCTGTATTTCATTTCTATGTTGCCCCATAGGCAAAACAAGGATCTACTTTGCTTTTTTCCTAGCAGCGTGAGGTCTGCTAACTGAAGTGTGGTGCAAAAGATGTACACTTAAAGAATTATGAACCCAAAAACTTGTTTTGGATCCCAGAACTGAACACAGCTCACAGTCCTTCCGTACAAAAAATGCACTCCTAGGAAAAAGTCCATGTGATGCTGTTATTTTTAAACAATTAGAAGTCAGAAAGCCTTGTCAAACACAAATCACCCAAAGAGCTACCAGTAGATCCAGATATACCATCTGCTTATCACTAGTGTAGGGGTTACAGACAGATGGAGGTTCACACTTTTCCTTTTGGCAAATCTGAATCTTCCTTGGAAGTGCTGTGCTGATTCAGATCCAGCACCTGTAGATTCCAAGAATTTGATCTATGAGCATATCCAGCCACCAAATAATCCTATTTTCATTGAAATTCATTTTGTAGTTGATGCATTTTTGATGTAATGGGGATTTTAATATTAAATTTGTTAGAGCAGTCCCTTCTTTCTCATCCCCACTGGTTTGATTATCTATTACCTTTCCATACCGGACCATTCCCTAAGTGGTTCACAATAAACAATAGTATTAGAATGCATCACATTGGACAACCACCACTCCCCACAACACATATGCACAATTTGTTACAAACTGGAATAAGTCAAAAGCAACTACTCAGTAAGCATATCATAAATTCTTTATAGGGTGTTAATATAGATGTGTACATGACAAGAACAAAGCAAAAATAAAATTAAGAGAATAAAACGAGCTTAAAAAACTAAGTCAAGCTAAGTTAATTTGAGTCTCACTGAACTGCACTAGGCTGCAGCAGCCTGGCTTCAATACATTTCAGGGAGCTGTATGCCCCAGTACTTCTCAGATATTCATAGCAATAAGCTAATCATGTAAACAGAAAAGTAAAGATCATTTCAAAGATTTCATGATTTCTGAATTATCATTCCAGCATTAAATATGAAGGTAAAGCTATCCTTATTGTTTCTTTGCAAAATGTCAGGTTTCTACTGGATCGATCCCAACCAAGGCTGCACCATGGATGCCATTAGAGTATTTTGTGACTTCTCCACCGGTGAGACTTGCATCCATGCCAATCCCAGAAGCATCCCAGCCAAGAACTGGTACATTAGCAAGAACCCTAATGAAAAGAAACATGTCTGGTATGGAGAAACTATCAATGGTGGCACTCAGGTGAGTTTCCTTCCAGTAAACATTCTGATAAATGTATTGTCTAACCCTAACCTTAACCATAACCATTCACTGATTGTCAGGTATCTTTCATTCCATGATGCACTCATTGATAGAATCAGATTTTTTTGTACAAAAATTTTGTTAGCATGAATACAGTCTTGTGCAATTTCCCCTAAAGTATAAAAATGGTGCACAGATTGATGGAATCTGTGGAATGACTTGGAAAACAATCCAATACAGAATCAGCAAGCTGGAATTCTACAATTCCCAATATATTGGAATATTTTGAGAATTTATTTGACATTCTCAAGCCTGAACCACAGAAATAAAAGGAATGATCATAGTAATAGCTATGTATAGATCTATCCTTCAAATCTCCATTAAAAGCTATTTGAACTAGCAGCCATCACCATATTGGTGAACTAGCAGCAATGGTATCAGTTAAAGTGAATTGTGCTTTGCCTGAAGAAGTAATTCTTTGTGGCAGCCTTGAACCTACCCCCAAAAACCTTTAGTTGTTGACTTGACTTTTAAGTACTACTGCACAATTTAGTTGCTCTCATCTTCTCCACATCATTCATGTTCAAGAAACTGCTATCAGGTGTCCATTACAACCCATTCACAAATGGGTGAATGGTAATCCCTGTATTTTACCCAATTGCCACTTTGATATGTTTTTTGTGGAAATGTTAATAAATTCACATGGAATGACATTTTCTATGAATAGGGTGCAAGTTGCATTAACTTGAATTAAACTTTTGTCATACTTGAATATCTCCTCGATATAAATCCTTTAAAAAATTCCTGTTTTAAAATGCTGATGATTTTGCAAATGCACCGTACATCCATTAGGCTTACACATACAACAGATTAAAAAATTAATGTGATATTAACTGAAGGATACTTACCAACCCTTCTCTTTTTAGTTTGAATACAATGAGGATGGTGTGAGTAGCAAGGACATGGCCACCCAACTTGCTTTCATGCGACTCCTGGCCAACCATGCTTCCCAGAACATCACTTACCATTGCAAGAACAGCATTGCTTACATGGACGAGGAAACAGGCAACCTTAAAAAGGCACTCTTGCTGTTGGCATCCAATGATGTTGAACTACGACCTGAAGGCAACAGCAGGTTCACTTTCACCGTTCTTGAAGATGGCTGCTCTGTAAGTATTGATTCATTACTGCTTTTTGAAAAAACAGTCTTTGGATATTCCTTTTCTCCTACAGAACTACTTTGACAAAAATCTGGCTCATGTAGGGCCATTTATAGCACAATCCTGTACATGTTCAAGAGGAACTTAACCCAGGAAAGTTTCTCTAAGACTGCACTCTTAGTTTCAGATTTTGTTTTGAAGGGCATGACAGTTTTTCCCTACTATAATGCATACAAATTGAGCAGAATAGTAAATTCATACTGTAGAGAATTCACTCCCTGTCTCTGTGTTACTGAGATAATTCCCTGGCCCCAGAGAATTCATTCATAAGAAAAGGAGAATTTACAACAGATAATTCCCATTGTTCTTCCTGTAGAGTGAAGATCATGAAAGGATCATCGAGTTCCAACAGTTCTAATTAACTTTAGTTTACTCAGAGTATATACACAGGCATTTTATCATGAAATGTGAAAAGCAGTCATGTCTCCAACAACTTGGAACATATGATAGTCACTCACTAGGAAGCCTGACATGCACGTCTCTAGTTTCTGTATACAAGTGCAAATCATAGAATCATAGAATAGTACAGTTAGAAGGAGCCAAGAAGGCCATCAGAGTATAACTGTGCAGAAATTAGATTTGAATCGGAAAATCATGAGATTCCAGGTACTAATTCTGAAGATAGCAAAAGAGGGGATGGAAAGCATGAGTAAGTAGGTTGGAGTCTGGGGTCTTCAGCCAGGTTTGGTAGTACAGAATTGCTGAATTGCTGGGGCTTGAATGATAGGTAAGTGAAGTGGGACTTACTAATTGATCCTTACTAGAAAACTTATTGAGGCATAGATTGCTAACTCCTCTTTGCTATTTCCTTCTAGAAAAAGAACAACCAATGGGGCAAAACTATCATTGAATACAGAACAAATAAGCCATCTCGTTTGCCCATCCTTGACATTGCACCTTTGGACATTGGTGGCGCTAACCAAGAATTCGGTGCGGACATTGGCCCAGTCTGTTTCAAATGAATGAACTAAAACTAACTTAAAACCAAAAAAAAAAGTATTCTCTCTTTGCCATTTCTTTTTTATACTGAAAGCTGACTCCTTCCATTTCTTCTGTTCATCTACTTGCTTAAACTCTGGGCGAAAGAGGCGAAGGATTTATTGGAACGATGTGCAATGCAATTTAATACAGCCCCAAAAGGAATCAGAAGTTTTTCAAGATTTTATCACCTTGTTGTGGAAAATGTCAGCCTTTGTGTAAAAAAAAAAATACAAAAAACCAAAAACTAAATAAAAAAAATCCTGAAAGTTTGCACCACTTGTGGCCTTTGAATATCTTCCACAGAGGAAGTTTAAAACCACAACTTCCAAAGGTTTGAACTACCTCATACACTTTTAAGCCAAGTGTGATCCACATTCTTATACATAAGATTTGAGGTGCTTTGGGTCCCATTCAGAATAGGAAGGTGCTGATTTAATATTATAGAGTATATTACCAATACTTGAACTTTAATGGTGCTAAAGTCATTTGAATAGAAGCCAACCAATCACTTTTCTGTATTAAGTTGTATTGTTTCTTTGGAATCTGTCTCAGAATAAAGTCAGAATGTCCCATCTCACTGCCAGACTAAGCATGTGGATCATTTCTCCCCTACCCTACCCCATCTTCGTCCTCTTCTCAACATCAGATGTCCATGCTTTTAAATCTCATTTTCATTCTCTACAACGGGCAGAAAAGGAATCATCATTTCTCAACGAAAAAAATTGTACCTATTTTGTATATGTGAGATGTTTAAATAAATTGTGAAAAAATTGAAATAAAGCATGTCCAGTGTTCCAAAAGAAACCACTGAATGAGTAAAGTTCCTTGATTAAGAGCATTAACAAATATTTTTGCACCTTATATTTACGGCAGCTCTGCTTCTGTTCCATTAAAACATAACAAGGTAGAAGGATGCAGTATCACTTTCTACGAGTCTCACTATACTCATTTTGAATTTTTGGGGGCAAGTGTTTTGATTAATCTAATTGCTGAATAGCCTAGGCCCTAGAGGCTGCTTTGTTTTGATTAATGAGTTGTTCTTTGTGGCATACAAACTATTAAATAATACTTGCCTTTTCCAGCAAACTGTACATATAAACATAGCATCTCTTGTTTTTTATAATTCTTTGAGATATGCTGATTCTACAGAACTATTTCCCAATTAAATCCATCTAAGAAATTATATATAATTCCATTCTAAAAAAAAGACAAACATCACTTAGTCTTCATAGGCCTACTCACAACTGTATTAGGACATATTTTCCCCTTGAACTGAATGGATTTGTTACTACTGTTTCACATACAAATTGATAAAAACTACAAAGAAGTTTAGGATTATACTCGATGGATCAAAAGGCAAACCCACATATCCAGAAAAAGCACATGATATAGTATTTTTTTGGCTGTACTAGTTCAGGGAATACTTTAAATCTTACCAGCCCTTGTAAAGCTAGCCTATTAAAGACGATGGTTGTGGCTTAATCTCTTTAGTATACCAGTTTTCTATGTGCAGGGAGTTTTTGAGGTAAGGAGCATTCAAACACAAGAGTGCCCTTATGCATTCTGATGTATAACAAACCACAAAGGCAAGGCCATGAGGCTTTTTCTGAATATATAGGTTGGTGCTTGATAGGTATCAATGGAATTATTCCATAGTGAGGATTGATTTATGCAGCTAAGTTGTATATTCAGCAATATCGCCTCATGATGACGCTTAACATGGCGGCAAAGTTGTGAATGAGCCCAGTTTTGGGACACCATGTCAGCACTTGTCGAGATTCTAGGTTTCCCATATGATAATGAAAGATTCACAGATGCCTGCTGAGGATGTTCCCTATTGGTTTTCATTGAAACATTCTTTCTGGAGTCCATCTTGAATTATGGTCTTCGCTAGAGGGATTTTGCATTGCTGGTTTGTTATACAGAAACATGAAGGGGGTTATTTCATAGACACACTAAAAGGATTTTGCTATAATGGCACAATTTTGACCTATTTATAAGAATGCAGTGTTAAAGAAGAACATTCTGGATTAGAAAAAGAATAAAAACCCTTTCATAAATTAGCCTGTAAGAGCATCAGAAGAGCCTGACGGAATCAGACCAAAGGCCTATTGCTAATCTTTGCAAAGCCACACATAGTCATGGTTGAATAGATTCTTCCTGCCCATACTCCCCAGCAACTGGTGTATTTAGGCACACTGCCTCTGCTACTGGAGTTGGCATATATCCATCTTGCCTGTAGCTATCAACAGCCTTCCCTTCAGTGAATGTTTAATTCCCCTTTAAAGCCTTCCAAGTGGGTGGCCATTACTATATCTTGGGGTAGCCAATTCCACTGTCCATGCACTGAATGAAGAAGTGCTTCCTTTTTTCTGTCCTGAATCTACTGCTATTCAGCAGCATGGGATGAATCAAGGGTCTAATATTGTGACAGAGGGAGAACAACACCCTCTTATTACTTTTTTCACACCATGCATAATTTTGTACACCGCTGTCCTGTCCATTGGGCCAGATCCATTGTTCCAGTAAAATGGCCATCTCAGACAGCTGATTCAGAGTGTCATGAAAAGAGAGAAGATTGGGCTTTTGATTGTTTTACTGTAAGGAAGAGAAAGAAGCTATTGGGGATTTTTTTTTTTTTTTTTTATCTTAATGAGCCAAAATAACGTGATTTACCTTGGGTCTGAAACTGTGCCCCTCCAGACTGAAAATGCCCTTGGCCTGTTCTTCAAAAGCACAAGATGCTCATACGAGTTGTGCCATAATAGATCAATAATGTGGTGTTAGGAAAATGAACTCTTGCCCAGGAAGGGATGTCTGCCTGGGCTGCTGATGCTGATTTGTATCTGATCCTCACTGAAAATGATGGGTGAATTTGAAGCAAGCAGGAATGTGCATCCCCTTCTGGAGACATTGGCTGCCCAAAACAAAGATCAACTACAGCTGGATCAGGGCTTTTCATTTATATTTTATACACATCAACAGATCTGGAGCAAAAGCTTCCATAATGCAAAATGCAACAGATGCTGGAGCGTGATGTTTCAGTAACACATTGTTAAGAATGTATATTCTGCTGCATCCACGTCTTGCCTTAAGGAAATTACAGCATAGCCTATCAGCTGAATGGCTGGAAATCAAAGAATTTAACCTTATTTGCATCATTTGCAAGGTCATAAGCAATTTTAACACTTCACTGCTTTCTTACTGTGCTTGCAAAAGTGCCAGGGAAACACCCATTTAAAAAGAAAGAGATGAGCCATTTGTGACTAGAGAAGCAATTTTCCTGGCTGGACTTCTACTTCTTTATAACAGAGGCAGAATCTCCAGAGCCTTGACCCTTTGGCTCACATCATACCTACTCAGCAGAGCCAATGGTGTAGGATGGTGGGATTTATTGGCCAACATCTCTGGAGGGCCACAAGTTGCCTCTGAAGTGCCACAGAGTGAACAAATATATTATGCATGTTCATAGAATATTCAACAATAAAACATTTCTGCCCATTATGCAGCTGTTAAACACACATAAATCTTTGCAGAAAAGGGGGCATCTGTATTAGAAATCTGAATCTGAATCATGGAGAGTCCACTGTTATTCAGAAAAATAGAGGCGAAGGGGTACTCCGCTTTTCCCCCCTCTAAGAGTTGTTTCCCTTAATTCCAACGTTCAAGTCAGGTGTGCTTCTCTATAAAGTCAAAATGGCACCACCACAAGCAACAGGAAAGTGACTGCGACATTTATAGAGTGCAATGAACTTTTTTAAAAAAATGCCAATGTGGCAGGGAATGTCAAAAATAGGTGAACATTTTCATTGGACATGGAATGTTGATGAGCAAATTATGGGGAGTCAAGGAGAGAGAAATGTATGGAGTGGCTGGAACCCTGGGCAGGAGCACTCTACAATGCAATTTTTCTTTGCATGTATTTCCATTTCTCACATTAAAAATGCTTAATTCATTTACTCTGTTGTACAATATGAGGACGGTGCCATTACAGTTAGACTCTACCTTTCTTCCTCTTGAAAAAAACCCAAGGTGGCTTACAAGGTCTCCCACATTTCATTTTACCCTTCCACAAGCCTGAGAGGTGGTCCAGGCTGAGTCTGACCTAAAGTCACCCAGTGAGCAGGGACTAGATCTTGGAGCTTCTGTGTCCCAGTCTAGTGCTTGAACTACTATGCCACAGTGGCTTTCTTTGAAGCTGGTTAAATGTAAGGAAGGAAGGAAAATTGAAATTATTCTGTTTGAATGCATGGTTACAGGCTGCCACCTGTTGTCTTGGAAAGAAAGTGTTCAGCTAAAGCACTGATGGCGAACCTTTTATAGACCAAGTACCCAAAATGCAACCCAAAACCCACTTATTTATCGCAAAGTGCCAGCACTGCAATAAAACCTGAAAACTGAGGGTTTAGTTTAGAAAAAACACCTCACAGCCAGTCCAAGCAAATATACATATAACCTCGGCAGGGCATTGACCGTCCATGTGAAAGCTTGGATGAGTCGCAGCTAATGAGACGGTGCTCGTGAGGTCATTGCCTGGTGCCATTACTCCTTTCTGAGCATGCGCGTGGTCCCTATGTGTGCTGTTATCCAATGCGAGACTGGGGTGCCATAGGTTCACCACCACTGCCCTAAGCCTACCCTGGTGCACTCCCCTAACCCAACTATAGGGAAAAAAATTCTATTGAAAAAAGGGCGAATTTAAAAAAGCCTTCTTAGAGTAGCTTTTTCTGCACAGCTTATCATTTCTCTCCATTCTAAACACATTCCAACCATCAAAATTAAGCCAGGACACCAAGTTTTTGTAACCTAACCCTTCCCTGGTGCACACCTCTAACCCTAACATAGGGCAAAAGTTCCAATGAAAAGAGTGCAATTTTGAAAAAGCCTTCGAGTAGCTTTTCCTGCATGGCTCATCATTCCTGCCCAATCTAAACACTTTCCAACCATCAAAATCATGCCAGGGAACCTCATTTTTCTAACCCTAACTCAGTGATGGTGAACCTTTTAGAGACCAAGTGCCCAAACTGCAACCCAAAACCCACTTGTGTATTGCAAAGTGCCAACACTGCAATAAAACCTGAAAACTGAGGTTTTAGTTTAGAGAAAACACCTCACAAGCCAGTCCAAGCAAATGCATATATATCCTTGGCAGTGCACTGACTGTCCATGTGAAAGCTTTGCGAGCCACGGCTCATGAGTCCTAGCTCATGACGTCATCACCTGAGACCGCTACTGCTTTCTGAGCATGTGCATGACCCCAATGTGCGCTGTT